GTAATTCTGAGTTTCCTGTCTGCCTTTCCTACTAGACCTTAAGCTCCTCAATTACATGGATCCTCTCTGTTTTATTCACCACAGTATTCCCACTTCCTAGCACAAAGTGGGCACTTTGTTTAATGAATGAATGAAAGGCTGAATTACATGGAATTCCGAGTTAGTAGAATATAAATTGATAGCATCGCATTTACCTATCAGGCTGAATGGTTTGGTTTCGTTAGGTTTAAATCTTGCTGTATTTTTTGTCTTTGTTCCAGGGCCGAAATAATATGTTTCATACATTATTAATGTTCCTCTACATCATAAAGACCAAAGAGTCAGGAATGCTTGGGTAAGTACTTATGCTTTAAAAATACAAGTACTTAACTTATATACTGTTTTCCTTATGTTCAGATTCTGCAGAAGGCAGCATCATATACTGAAGATTTGTGGACTGAACAGTAAGAGATATGGCTTCTAGTACTAGCTCAGCCCTGTCACTAACCAGCTCTGCCATCTTGAGCAAGTCCATTACAGTAATTCCTTGGAACCTCCATTTCCCCATTGATAAAAAGGCAATTTGACCACGTCATTGGCTTTACAGCCGTGTCCCCCAGAGGAACAACCCTGATATATCAGGATCTTGCCACTTTAAAATTTAAAAACAAAAACAAAACTGGAGTCCTATTTATTCAAGCTATCCCACTTCAAACACAAAGCCTTCTGCAAAATGTTTACACTTTCAGAGATACTAAGTCAGCACCAGTTCCATAATATTGTTAATTGGGATGGAAAAATGGTCAGTTGAAATTGTTTACTTTGTTTATTCTAAATACTTAGTAATGAAGCTCACATACTGTTACAATAAACTCAAAATTGCTGTCTTGTTATTTAGGTGATTTGAAATTTTAGTCCTTCAAATAGTATTTGAAGTAAATGGACCTCAGCTAATGCTGGGTAAATCTGGTAATGCAAGGACTGGAAGTCTGAAAATCTGGGTTCTGGGTCCATCTCTGCCTGCACTGTGTAACCTGAGGTTAAAAAAATGTAAAGGGAAGGGCTGAATAGAAAACATCAGGGGTCTGTTCCAGTTTGGTATGCATGCTTCTTTTCAGTTTTATAGGTGCCCTGCTTTATACAGGTTCTGGAACTCCACTGTCCAGTACAGCAGCCGCCAGCCACATGTGGCATTGAGCATTTGAAACATGATTAGTCCAAATTGAGATGGGCTGTCAGTGTAAACTACATAGACTAGAATTTGAAGACCTAGTACCAAAAAAGAAAAAGTAAAATATCTCTAATAATTTTGTATATTGATGACATGTTGAAATAATGCGTTGGATATACTGAGTTAAAGAATATTTATGCTACCATGGCTCTTTTTTCTTTATTTTTTTAATTACAAAAATAATGCATGCTCAGTATAGAAATATTTAAACAATATAGCAGTGTATAAACTAGACATTGAAAACTCCCCTCTGATCAACTCTCTCTTCTGATCAACTCTCCCTCGAGGTATCCATTGTGTTAACAGTTTCAGGTGTACATTTTCAGACTCCTTTCTGGGGAAAGTTGATTTTTTTTTAGTTTTCATTTTGTTTAAAAATATATTGTACCCAAACATATTACTCTGTGACCTGCCTTTTAATCTTATGGTATATCTTGGATATTCTTCTATGTCAGTAAATACAGACTTTTTTCCTAAATTTTCTAGCAGTATTTAGAAAGATATACATGTATTAGAAAGATGGAATGTGCTATAAATATATTGTTTTGTAACTCTTAACAGTGTTTCTGGAAGACTATTTTGAAGTGAGGAATTAACTTAGAAGTATTTTAAATAAATAATGAATTTTTGGTTTTAATTGAAAATTTATCTTTTCTCGAAATCTAAATTGATACTTGATACATAAGTGATTTGTCATGATAGCATGAAGCTTGTGTTGAGTACCATATATAGTTTGTCATGTACATAAAAATGTAAAATCTTTAAAAGTATTGGATTGGCCAAAAAGTTCATTTGGGTTTTCTGTAACATCTTAGTGGGGCAGTAATTTACACAGAGGCCCAAAAGAATTGGTATAATATTTAAAGTGCTTATCTTCTCTGAATGAGGAACTTACATGTAGAAAATGAAACATTTTAGACTAAAACTAATCTGTGTTTTATTTATTTGGGATTTTTTTTTTAACCAAGGGAAAAGTCTTTGAAATCAACTTAAAATATGATTAATCTTTTTAATACATTTTGGAACAATCAAATGTTAAAAACTGCTCTCCTATACCTTAAAGGAAGGAAATTTCCTTTGCTTAAAGGAATAAGCAAGTGGCTCAAATATAGACCATTTGGAATCATGCCCATAACACAGCAGTTTAATACAAATCCATTATCAGTTCAATGCCACATATTTGTGTGGTAGTGGAATGAGATGAAAGTTTTACATCCAAAAGGGAAAAAAATCTAGACAGAATCGACTGCACAGTAATTTGTGTCCTGTTTAGTAAAAGACACCATAAATAAAGTTTAAAACTAAATGACAAACTGAGACAAAGACTTATAATTTCAACATTTAGAGCAAAGCCAAGTTGATATCCATCATGTATAAGGAGCATATATGTTAATTAGAAAAGAAAAATGTAGGAAATGGTCAAAGACACGAGAGACTTTCATAGAAGAGTGTCGTGCAGAGGGTTAATGAACATGAAAAGATGCTTAGTCTCATACACAATCAAGCCAGAATTAAAACATTTTTTCTATCAAATTGAAATTTATCATTTGCAGTGTTGGTGAGGGTATGGAGAAATGGGAAAATATAGTTGATGAAATGACCTTTTTTGAACAGGTAAAATTCTCTAAGAGGCCTAGCATCTCTAACTCCTCAATTTTTAAAAATTTAATTGACACTTTTACTTAAATCTTGCTTGCTAAAATTGTCCTGTTTAACTCTATCTGTTGTAATAATTCTTGAGGTCCACTGAAAAATTAATTTTCAACACTCCATAAGTCCATTTATTCTAAATTTGGGTTTTAAGCACAGTTAAGAAAGTAATTACTGTTCTGGAATTCACCTGATAAACCATGTGTAACATAACTTATTTCAGAAAAGCACTAAATGTTAATTAAACATGTATCCCTTGTAAAGACTCCTATTTTAGTTATTTGAAAAAAGACCTTAAATGCTGGGCAGTCAATTCCACTAAACCTTTTTTTTTTCTCTTTATAGGAGAGTTAATCTTGGTCTATCCGGTGTGAATATTTTGTGGATTTTTGGCGAGTAGTGGGTCATTTAATTCCAAACTTTTGGACTTCATTTGACTGAATCAGAAGTTGAATCTAAGTATCTCTGAGTCACTGCCTCCTCTGAAATAAGATACATATGTGTATGTTACAGACTTTAGATTTAACAAAAAATTAGCTATTATGAAACTTCTTTGTAAAAGTATGCCCTATATCTTCTACACCAAGAAACATTACTTTATCATTTCAGAAAAAAACTGCAATCCTTCAGATTTTTGTTGGCCAAAACAGTGCAGCTCCCCCTTAATTGAGTCCTTCTTCACTGTAACACCCCAAATAAGAATCATCTGCCTGATTCCTCCCCACAAAAATTGTTTTTTCAGTTATTTAGTATAAATAATTTTTTTAAAAAAGCAAGTTGCTTATTTTTTTTAGTGTTTATATTACCCCAGTGTTCAACAAATTAGCCCAAGGCCCATATTTAAAGAAATGAGATAAACTTTTAAGTAATAGTTCATGTGCATTTAAAAAATATTATTGGAAGAGGTTTGACGGTATTAATGTTTAAAAAGTCAACTCTTGATGAAGTTCACAGTCTTGAACATGGTTTGAAAGATGCTGCCTGATCTTCCCTCTGCCCCCCTTGCCCCTGCCTCCACTCCAGTCTTGCCTTGCCCCTCTCCTTCCATGCCCCAGCCACACTGGCCCTCTCTCAGCTCTCATCCCAGGGCCTCCGTGCACTCCCGCTGCCTGAGACACTCCGGCCCCACTCTAGCCAACCCTCCTCAGCACCCTTCTAGGCTCTGCCTAAATGTTGCTGTCCCAAAGAAGCTCTCCCTCCCCCCACTCCTTCCATTCCCACCTCCCGCAGATCCCCTGACTGTTTTCTCTCTTGGTACCTTTCACCTTTGCTTCATATCACCGACCATGGTTTGAAATCACTTAGGCACGTGCATTTCTTTCTATGTCTCTCTAAACCTGTGCTGTTCAATACAGCAACTACCTGAGGCTGTTAAGCACTTGAAACACGCCTAGTCCAAATTGTGATGCGCCATAAGTGTAAAATCACACCGGTTTCAAAGACTTGATAGGAATAAAAGACTGTAAACTAAGAAATAAACAACTATAAAAATAAAAAGTCAACTCTTGGGTTAAATTTAGCTGATAGAATTAAACTATTTAGGTCTTAGTTAAGAGGCTGAAGACATCAAGAAAACAATTGCCTTGGTTTTAATAACTCAGTTTCACTGTTCCATAATATTGTATTGAGTTCCCTTTAAAATCATATGATATCTTATCTGTTTAAATTTTTTAGATATGTTCAAAATATCTGGAAAGTATGAAATAACCGAGTTTGGAAGTTTTGCTTAACTCCATCTTTATTTTCTTACATGTATATGTAGTATATCTAAGGCTAGTTAGCAATTGCATGTATTTTTTGGGTTGACATGTTACTAGAGACTGCTTTACCAGGAAACAACTAAAACTAGTATTTTCTCAATAACTCCGTGTCAGTATTACATATGCAGCTCATTTTGTATAATTTGTAAATCTTGTTCCTGTTTTTTAAAAGTCAGATGTCCAAAGGAAAGGAAGTTTCTATCTTTTAACTGCTTTTGATGTATGTTAAATTTGTTTGTTATGATAAAATACCAACTAAACATGTTAAATATAAGAACATGTAAAAATCGAAGTCTCCTGTTTCAGAAGTTGGTGTGTCTACTTCACAATTACAAAAAATAAAAAATGATGTGTCATTTCTTATATTAAAAAAAGTTTATGTGTCAGAAATGCAATATACAGTAAATATTTCACGTAAAAAGACTAGAGGTACACATTAAAAAGAAAAGATATTTTGTTTGCATACTAAGGGTGGTGTGGGTTACTATACTCTGGGTAGCTTTCATTTATTAACTTGTCTTCACAAATGTTTGAGCCAGCCTATACTTACTATAGCTTTTATTAAAAATACTTTGATGAATTTGAATTCATACTTCAGGAAGACAGTGCACTGCAAACATGGTAAATTTTTTGGTCCTTGTGTTAAAATTAGTAAATATTTCTCACAAGTTTTTATTTTCTTTGCTTGACTCATCCTTGTGGGATCAAATCCACTAATCTTCTAGATTATGTTCACTGTATCACTTATTCTTTTTTTCTCTATGAATATCAGCCTTTTCTTCAGCCAGATTTGTTTAGAGGCATGTTTATAATTTGGTTCCTACTATAACATAAAAATGCTGTGTTGCTTGACTTTCTCAGATATACACTTTAAACTGCTATTTAGTGGTGAAGACATGCAGCATGTAGGTGGCATTTCTAAACTCAGCTTTGTGATTATAAATCCTTTGAATGCGGGCATTCCTCAAAGGTCATGCTTTGGTCCTCTGTCTCACGGCTTATGCTTTTCCTTAGAGATCTCATTCATTCTGTGACTTCATTTATCACCTCTGCATTTGATTCCCAAGTTCATCACCAACCATACTGTCTCTCCTGAGCTCTAGTGTTAAATTTCCTGTGACCTGTCAGACATTTCCACTTGGATATCATGCACATTCTCCATGTGTGGAACTGAATTCACATCTGCTGAAACAGCTCCCTCTCTAACATCCCTTTTTCTGTTCATTGTACTACCAGTCGCCCACACTCAAAACTGCTGTCATCTTGACTCCTTGAGCTCCCTGGGTCCCCAATCCAATCAGGCAGCAATCTCATCCATTCTTTCTTAACAATGTCTCTTGCAGCTGTCCCTTTCCATTTCTGCTGGCACTATGCTCATTTACACCCTTATCAACTCACACAGGACTACTACAACAGCCTAATTAATCTCACAGCTTCCTAATTGTTGCCATGCTTCCAGATTTTCCAATTCATCCTGCACACTCTCTTGAAATTCATCTTCCTAAAACACTTGTTTGATCATTTCATTCTCCTGATAAATTCCTTGGCCTGACATTTAAAACCCTTCATAATCTGGCCCCAAGCTAGCCTTATCCACCTGAATCCTTGGCTTCAGCCATTGTAGGCTGCTCCTTGCTGGGCTGTCTGCATGTATCTCCTGCCCATCCTGATCACTCCCTGGGGATGTCCCCTCCCCCTCTACAGTCTACCCTTCCCTTGAGACTCTGCTTTAATTAAACCCGCTATTTTTTGGAGCTGATCCTGACCACTGCAGCTGGCAGTCATTTCTCCTCCAGGGTGATTAGATCTGTGCCCCTTTTTTGGCACTCAGCCGCCATATGAATGAATTCAGAAGTGACTTTTAGTCTCTAAGGATGGGTACTCATAGCTTGTCTCATCTTCATGAAAGACATGAGTTTTTTACTAGTCTGAGCTGTGCTACTGTTCAGGAAGACTTTGATGATGGCTAAAGCTACCTTTTGGGAAAGGCTTGAGTTCTTGTCAAAGGACACCTTTTGAGCAGCCAGGCGCACTGACTTTCCTTTTGTGTCTAGGCCTAAGGAGGAGGAAACATTCCCAGGCCTGAAGAGCTGCAGCAGGGACATTGCCTAAAATGTGTAGGCATTAGGAAAATACACAACCAATTCCCGGTACTCTTGGGGGTCTTCCTTAGTGACCTGAGGTGAGGCCGTTAAACTTACCAGCAGCACATTGTCCCAGATCTTGCAGGGTCCACTGTGAGGGGCCAGGAGAGGCTAGCTGGCCCACCCTTCCGTCCAGGTGGCTTCAGTGACAGCACTCCTCTGCTTGTAGGTAGGGCCAACAATACCTGAGGATAAGCAACAGAGGGCTGGAATCTCTGGCAAGAAGGCCTTGGGGAAGGATCCTTGCAGGGGTGGGAGGGGCGGTAATCTGCCCACTTAGAGTGAGAGGGGTTTGCACATCAGCACCTGTGCTTCTTAGGCCCCAGTGACATTGCCACATCTCATTGTGTATGCCAGTGGCTTTGTGCTGAGCCTGCTGGATTGTTAGGCATTAGCTCTGAGCCACATCTCTAATTTGACCCCTGAATGGTCATCAGTAATTCCATTTCCACACTGAATGAGCTGCACTGACCTGGGGGACAGGTTATGGATTCTACAGAGGGTAGCACCTCAGTCGGGGTTAGGGAGAAGAGTCCAATAGAGCACGATGGGTATGAAGAACAGCCTCATGGGTGCCCAGAATTCTGTCCACCTAGGACAACAGTGACCCCAAAGATATTCCCTAGCAAAGTCACATGCAAACAATCCCAGGCACTGCTGTGGATGAAATGTAAACTATAACTAAATCCTTTCATGCCCCCAAAACGAATATTCCACAGTCAGTCTAACTAGACAAGCCACTGGCCTGAATGGGCTGAGACTTTGGAGGACTAAGCTCTGTCACTATTGGGGCAGGGCAATTAACTTTTTACACGGTGATTTCTGGGCATAAGAAAGATACTATTCATACCTCAGAGATCATTGAGAAGCTGAATGAAAATAATGGATGACAGTGCTTTTGGGTAAGGAAAAAATGGCTTTAAAAAGTCTTTCAGAATAACATTAGGATAAAACTAGGAAATGGCCCTTTTTAGCATTGTAAAGCAACTCTGTCATTCCTGGATCATGCTGAGATGTATACAGATCTTCATGCCTTGACACACACCCACCCCAACTGTCCTAGCCCAGCTGTATCTGCCTCTTGCTCCCTCTTTCCTTCCCCCACCCCAGACCTGGCCATTTCCCAATCAGAGACAGTACCGCCCTTGTATCTTGAAGGCTGGGCTTGCTGGTCTACCAAGAAAACACTGTCTCCTTCCTTTCCCATTTCTAAACTAGAAGGAAAAAAAATAACAATCCTGAATCAGACTGCTTTCATGAATTGCATCCCATAGGAGGAAAGTCAGAAGGTGGTGATCGGCTCTGTTGGGGGCAAAACTTGTTTTTTCAGGAGCCGCAGCCAGGCATGATTCTTCCTCAAACACATGGTACGTAGACTGGAATCAGGCAACTCTGTGATAGTTTTGGCCCAGAATACAGGCATTAGCTTACTGAGCTCCAACTCCAAAGAAAGGCCCCTTTTGTTCCTAATGGGGAGGGTATCATCCACTGGACAGCGTGAGGAGAAGAGTAGTCCTGCTAACTCGTGAAAGTGAGACTTGACAGAATGAAGTCTGAACTAAAGCCATCAGCCCCAAAACCTGGTGGTTTGAAAAGGTGTTATATGGCTTCCATCTCAAGTTAGCTAACCACCCTTAAGAATAAATTCAGTACAATGCTCTGCTTCCAGTTAAATGTTCTGCATGCATTCTTTAAAGTTTTTTTAATGCCATCTTGAAAATTCCTGGAGTTAACTACCTTAAAGCGGTGGTTAGACTCCACTTAGACCAAGTGCCTTGGATAGAACCCGGAGGCAAAGTCCATATCCTAGAATACAGTGTCTCTTAAATAAAACACAGATATTTTTTCTGTGTAGCCAGAGAAATGATCTTTCATTTAAACTACTGTATCTCTCTGAGTAAGTTGCTACTTTCTCCTACCACAACTCTATTTCACCACACATACCCCTCTCCACACAACCACCCCCAGGCTGGCTTGCCCTCCTGACCCTATCCTGGCAGGTATAATAGTAGGGCCATGCTACAACAAATACCCAAGGAAAACTGCAGGCCTCTCAGATGAACAGAACTCCTATAAATGATGGAGCTTCTGTTAGACTGCGGCTTCCTTAAGGTCCTTGAGAGCAGGTGCATGTTAGGTGTTCAGTAAATATTTGTTAAATTAGTAATTGGGTTAAGCAGACAGAATTCACTTGAAAAGCAATCCTTTTCTTTTTTTGGACTGTAATTTTCGCCGAGTGTGCTTTCCATGCTGAAGACCATGGAGAGTTCTCTGGCCGGTGAGTGGAAGCGTGGCAGAGAAGAAAAGAAGCAAGGAACTGGCAACAGGCAGTGGATCTAAACTTGTAGAAGGAAAGGCCAGAGGGCCCGCTCTACATTTCCATGCATTCCTCTTTGTTGGGCTGTATGAAAATTGATTCAATAGTAAAAAGTGTGTACATGGCTGGGGGAGAAACCCCATCTAGATACATATCTGCCAGTAGTTTCTCAGTAGAATGCAAAATTGGAGGCATCTTGCAATCTCTCAAAGCTGGAGCTGTATTGGGGGTGGATGCAAGGTATGAGGGCTGGGAACACTCTGATCCAGTTATAGGATACCATTATCCTGTTCCCTAACACACCGTACAGTTTCCTCCAAGTTTATGTATAATCGGACTAGAGGATGTGTTTTCCGAGCTGCTTCTCTGAAATCTGCTTTCTCTGATGAGGAAACCAAGATAGCTTCAATCTACTAGGTGGTCAGAGTCTGTGCGTCCTGGCCAGGACAATGTATACCCTAGTTATGCACACTTTTAACAAATGTACAAATGCATAAGCATTTACCAAGTGCCAGCTAAGAACTGTGAACAAAAATGCAGTGCTGTATCCCCTCAAGGAGCTTACAGTTGAGAAGCAGAGATGAGATTTTAAGACTTTGGGGTAAATGCCCACAAAGAGGCCACACTCCAGGGCTCATGAGGTTGTGGTGAATCTGCCATAGTCCTCCACTGCTGATGGCAGTGCAAATTGGTACAGCCCTTTCGGAACACAACATGGGACTGACTACGTGTGTGTTTCAGTCACTCCTGCTGCACAGGTTGCCCCCAAAACAATAATCATTTAGTATCTCTCTCCATGGGTCAGGAATTCAGGTTGGGTACAATGGGGATGACCTCTCTCTGCTCCACAATGTGTGGGACTGAAGGACTGAATAAATTTAAGGCTGTTCATTCCCATGTCTAGTGGTTGATGCTGGCTATTGACTGGGGACCTAATTGGGAATGTGGGCAGAAGGCCCACATTTGGCCTCCACATGTGGCCTGGGCTTCCTCATAATATAGTGGCTGAATTCCAAGGGCAAGTATCTTGAGAAAGAGGGGGAGGTGGAGACAGAGCATATTACCTTTTATAACCTGGGCTTGAAAGTACCATGTTTCTTCCACTGCATTCTGTTGATCAAGACAGCTACAAAGAATTGACCAGTTTCAAAGGGAGAGAACATAGACCCCACCTCTCAATGGAGGGATGTCCCACATCACAGCACGTGGGATGGGACATATATTGATGTGGGCATTTTTGAAAAATATAATCTGCCACAATGTGAAAAGCCCACCAAAATGTTAATTTTCATATTAATGCTCTTTTAATACTCCTTGGCTAGGAAAACATTCATCAGGAAAAACATTATGTCTAAGGATGTTTATTATGTGCATTTGTTCATTTATGTATCCATCCATCCAATAAATATTGATTGAAGTGTTTGCTAGGTGCTAGGAATATAGAGAAGGCTTAAGATATCCTTTTTTCTCTCAAATACCTTCTAGTCTATCATAGCTAGACTATAACAAAACCCATCAAGTGTTCAGTGATAGATGGTCTAATAAATTATAGTACATCAACTCTGTGAGATACATCCTTGAATGAGACACTTATAGACTTACTTTGACCTCTTTTAAAAACTCCTACAACTTTGAAAAGACTGTGGGAAGATGGGGGAAATGTTGGGTGGAAGTAAAAACAAATCAAAGTTGTATGTCTACTATGATAACAGTTATGTAAAAATATGCATGAAGATTGCCAAGGACTAGAAAAACTATCAAATGTGAACTCACTTGTTGAAATAGGAATATGGATTGTTTTTCCATTTTCAACTCTTTTCTCAATGCTGTATTCCTTTTACAGTTGAAAAGGTCCAGAAAGAAAAGTGATGCAAATAGGATTTTATAGGTTAAAGGATAGAAAGCTCTGCTGAGACGTAGAGAATGGACTTGAGGACACGGGGAGGAGGAAGGGTAAGCTGGGACAAAGTGAGAGAGTGGCGCGGACTTATATATAAATGTAAAATAGACAGCCAAATGTAAAATAGATAGCTAGTGGGAAGCAGCCGCATAGCACAGGGAGATCAGCTCCATGCTTTGTGACCACCTAGAGGGGTGGGATAGGGAGGGTGGGAGGGAGACGCAAGAGGGAGGGGATATGGGGATATATGTATGTGTATAGCTGATTTACTTTGTTATAAAGCAGAAACTAACACACCACTGTAGAGCAATTATACTCCAATAAAGATGTTAAAAAAAACACAAAAAACCAAAAACTCTGCTGAGCAAGAAGCTGAGGAGAGACTTCATGGGAGAGGTGGCAATCAAATTTCAGTAGGAGGAGAAGCAGCAGGAATCAAGACATGAAGACAGAGGAGGAAGAGCTGTCTTTGGAAAACTGCAAAGAATCCAAACCAAGATGTATTTAGAAGAGCATGGGAAGGTGGGACCAGAAGGAAAGGTGGACCTTAGTTACTGGGCTAAGGACTGCAGACTTTATTTGTAGAGACTCTGAAGCTTTTTGAGCAGAGGAAGTCAAAGCAGTACTTAAGGAAGATGACCGACCACAGTCCTGAAGATGGACAGAAGCTGGAGCAGCTGCAGGCACGGAGACCTGTGAGAAGGCTGCGGCAGTAATCCAGGGCCTGGACTGCAGAGGTGGCAGAAAAGGCTGGAGAGCATTTGTAGAAGAAAACTGGTCCTAACTTGGTAATTTGGTGCACACGACTCCAATGTTTCAGTTTAGGTCATTATTATATGAAGATAGTGGCAGTAACAGAACTAGAGGAAGAGGAACTGGTTTGGAGCAGAAGAGAAATTTTAAACACATTAGGTTTGAGCTGCTCTTGGGACATCCAGATGGAGATGACAACAGATAGTTGGAAATAAAAGTCTGAATCGTCTAAGAGATCCCCACTTTTGGCAAAACAATTTGACTGTATCCCTCTTCCCTGAATGTTCTTCCCCCAGCTATCTGCAACGGGTCCTTCCTGTCTTCACCAAGCTCTCTGCTCAAACATCACCTCCTTGGACCCTTTCATGCTACCCTTAAAATGGCACCCCTGTCACTCACCATCCCCCATCCCCCACCTGCTCAGTTCTTCTTCATTGCCCATGCCTGAGATTTTACTTATTACCTGCTCCCCTCACCAGCATCCCCTTTAGAGATGGGATGCTAGCCTCATCTTCCTGTTTGAAGAACTAAACATTAAAGGGTACCTATGTGTCAATTCACTCTTAAATAAATCTCTACTGTGAAATGATAACAACTAATAGCATATGTTTTTCTGACTCCATCAGATCCTAGTCTAAAGGCTTAAAACTCTTCTGCTATGTTATAGATCAAAAATACAACTCAGAAGAAAGGGCACACACCAGTGGGGCGGTGGCAGACACTTCCAGGTACATCCCACTGGCCAGCAGTTAATCACAAGGACACATCTAGCTGCATAGGAACCTGGGAAAAGTTGTTTTGGGGCCATGGCCAGCTAATAACCCTAGTACTACAGAAGAAGCAGGGAATGGATATTAGGCAACAGCAGTAGTATGTCCCTGCAGGAGATGTCTGAATCAATCTGCAGAGCCCTGGATGTGCTTGACTCCAAGAACAGTAACTGTGCATACAGAACTCCCAGTCCCCTTGAACAATTTAACTTTCGCCAAGTGCTTCCATAATTGGCTCACCTTCTCCCCCTTCCCCAGGCACTGAAAATGAGGAAATGTTCAACATTTCTGTATTCCAGATGCCAAAATTCTATAGAGCAAAACACTGCAGACATGTCCATGCTGCTTCTCCTTGACCAACATCCTAAGTACCTGCGGCCGGCACCAGCTTCACATCTGCAGGACCCAGTGCAAAATGAAGGTGTGGGCGCCCTTGTGCAAAAATTATCAAGACTTTTAAGGCAGCCACAGCAGAGCATTAAACTCAACACAGGGCCCTTCTAAGCGTGGGGTTCTGTATGATTACCCAGCTCACAGGCCTGGGAAGCCATTTCTGTATTTAGCCTTAAAAAAAAAAAAAAAAGAAAAAAAAAAGAAAAGGAAGAAAGGAGCTGTTACATATCGTGAAACCCACAGGCAAGTAATGTTGGCTTTTCAGCCTGCTTCAGCTTTTAGGTGTGATCTTTTTTTTTTTCCTCATCATGGCTCAGAAAACATAGAAGTGGTCTGGGGGAGCAAACAGCTGGACTGTCTCATTTTACAGAAGACCCGGAAGCCCAGAGTGGGCCTGTGAGTGTCCAGGGTCTGGCTTGGTGCTGGTACCAGAGTCCACTCTAGAAGTCTGGCCTCTACACTGTGCCCCCTGGGAGCCCTGGCTGCACTGCAGGAGGGGGTCATTTTCCCCATCAGACAGGCTCTGTGATGTCAGGTCCCAGGCATCCTGGACAGTCTTGGGACCTCCCATTGCTTACTCTGTCTAGACTCTTCTTTGGGCCTCTAGTCAAAGAAGAGACAAAACCAGAAGTCACCCTGTTCTCGGCTCCCTTTGGGGGAGGTGCCACTGGTCACGGAAAGGCTGAGTGGTGGCCTGAGAAGGAAGAGCTTGGCCACTGCGCTCTGATGCTCCCTTGTCCGACGCCTCCAGGCTACGGGTCTGTGCCCCTCTGTGTGGAGGTGGGCAGAGAGGTTACAGGACGGCTGCTGGACACAGCTTGCCTGCCAGGTGCCTGAGGCTCACCATGAGGGACACTTACCAGAGTGAGGGATGGGCACACAGTCATCCTGGCGGAGGTTGCAGCAGGAGGCCGCAGGCTGGGGAGTGCCGTGTGGGGACTGCACAGAGCAGGGGCAGCGGCAAGGACAGGTGAATGCGTCACCGGGAGCAGGCAGGCCAGGTGTCAGATGGGCACGCTTTTCCCCAGGGGAGGGAAGGCTGTTCGAGACGCGAGGCAGAGAAGAAGGGAGTGATTAGCAAGCAAGGAGTGAGTCGCATCCAGTCCCCAGGGCAGCGCGCGCGCGCGCGCGCGGGCTGCGGGCTCTCCTGGGTGCAGACTTGGTGGCAAGTGGCACAGCCGGCACCAGGAAAGGTGCCAGGCTTCCTGCGGGGGCCTCAGGAGGTGGGGTCGGGAGCCTGGGGTCTGATGGCCGCCTGCTCTCGTCTGGAATCCAGAGTTCGCGGGCATCTCTGCCTCTGGGCCTCGCTGGCCTCAGATACCCTCCCGGTGAGCAGGCCTGATGTCCCCACCGCCCCGTGCCCTCCAGCCCTCCCCCCCCGTCCCCTCCCCCTCTCCCACCACACAGTGAGGACTTGGGGTTTCTGAAGAGCCGGAGGGAAGCAGAAAGCCCCCCAGTCTCCCTCCCAGCACCGCTCTCGCCCGGAGGACAGAACCGGGGGCCCCGCAGGGAAGGAAAGGGCCCTGAGGCGCGGGCGGTCACGGCCACACCTCCGCGGGCTGTCCCTTCCTCTCCAGGACTCCTAGGCTGCTGCCCACTAGTTTTCTGGCGCCCTGGGGAGTTGTGGGCAAAAGAAACCCGATTGTTTCTCCTCCCCCGCCGTAGGCTGGAGAGCTGTGCGCGGCTCCCCGCGCCGCCAGGCCCTCGTCCCTCAGGCTCCTGGGTCCCTGCATCCCTGGAAGATGCACACCCTGCGGCCCTGTTTCTAGAAGACCCTTTTCAGAGCCGACGGCCCCGCACTGTCCCTCCCCCTCGTGGCACTTCGTTGGCACCTCTTCCCTGGGCTCTGCTTCTCGGTGGCTCGTCAGCGCTGTGGCGGTGGGAGGCGGGACGGAGGGCCGAGGCCGGGGATGACAGGGAGCCCGCGGGAGGGACTGTTCAGAAAAGCAGGCCGGCGCCGCACTTCTGCGGCCGCGGGAGGCCCATCTCGAGCTGGGGCCCGGGGAGCGTCTGTCCCTGAATTCTGCCCTCCACTCGGGCCGTCGCTGCCGCCCGGCCCGGGCAGGGGGAGGGGGGAAGGTCGGCAGCGGCCTCTCTCCCATCTCGGGCCCTGGAGTTATTCAAGCACCAGCTCCTCCCTGGATCCAGGAGGTCACCCGGCGGCCACGCGCCAGATGTTAGCCCTCCCACAGCTGTGCCAATGGCTCCCGAGGACGAGGGAGTTTTTCACACCCTGTGCTGGTCACTGATGCTTGCCCCTCTCCTGCCAGAAGCTTCTCTGCCCTAGCTGAGGGGTGGCGCGGACAGGCGTCCAGGAGGTGGAGGCCTCTCGGCTCCGGCCCCGGGCCCTGCTTGCCGGCCTCTGTGCCCCGCCCGACCCCGCACACGGCCGTCAGTGTCCTCTCCCTCCTCCCATACCTCCGCGGAGGTATGGACACTTCAGAGGCTCAGGGCCTCGCTGCTTTCGCCTTCCGATCACTTTCCTTACCCGCCTCCATCTTCTCCGTCTGCAAAATGAGACCAATACCTCTCGGCGCTGAGGTAAGAGGCTCTCTCATGGCAGAGCTGGGGAGGGAACAATAGCCAGGACCTTCGCCCCACCTCGAAGCCCGGTGAGGCGGTGACGCATTTTCTCTCCAAGGGCAAGAGCGAGCTGAACGAGCGTCGTCCTGACGCTGCCCTGCGCCACCGCCGCCCTGCGTCACCGCCGCCCTGCGTCACCGCGTGGGCGGCCAACTCACCCTACCTCGCGTCACAGATTAGAGGCGCGGGACAGGGGTGAATGGCCCCTGGTATATTTTCCGGGTGTGCCTGCGCGTGTGTGTGGTATTTTGTGTGGTGGGTGTGGTGTATGTGGGTGGGTGTGGTGTGTATTTTGTGTGGTGTGTGGGGGTGTGTGTGGTGTATGTGGGCGTGTGTGTGGTGGGTGTGGGCTTGTGTATTTTGTGTGGTGGGTGTGGTGTATGTGGGTATATGTGGGTGTGTGTGGTGTATGTGGGTGTGTGTGGTATGTGGGGGGGTGTGTGGTGTGTGGTGGGTGTGGGTGTGTGTGGTGTGTGGTGTATGTGGGGGTGTGTGTGGTGTGTGTGGGTGTGTGTATTTTGTGTGGTGTGTGTGGGTGTGTGGTGTGGTGTGTGACTTGTCTGTCATGTGGCGTGTGTGGCTTGTGTGCGGTGGCGAGGTCAGCACTGGGGGTGAAGGCGCTGCGTGCAGAGGAGGTTTGAACAGAGGACAGGCCCTTAATGTTTCCTTCCAGAGGCTGTTACAGGGAAGGGCCTCGGTTTGAGCTCCTAAAAGAGTGATTCTCAAAGTGTGGTTCACAGTGGATCCTACAGCTGACCCCCAATTTACTGAAGCAGAACCTCTAGGGTTGAGGCCTCATAATCTGCACTTTTTCACCAAGCCTCAAATAGTCCTTTCCGGCCCCTCAAGCCTAAAAGCCGCTGATCCGGCCAGGAGGGGGCGCAGAACCCCAGCCTGCAGGCGGCGCTGGTGCGCAGGTTTCGTCCACGCCTGCGGGGCGCTGGCAGGTGTGGCCCATCCTTAGCATGGTAGCAAACAGCTCCCTGGGTCTCGGTCATTCCCTGCGCACAAATGTTCTTCTCCTTCCGACTAGCCCCCTCGGCCCCATCTTTTGAAACCTCCTGGTTTCGTAAGTATGTACTGCCCCTGGTTTGGTTTTGTTCTCAGGCCCTTTGGTGGGTAGATTTGTGTTTCTTGACCTAAATTAGAATATCCTTGAAAGCAGATGCGTTTCTGTCTCTTTTGTTTCTTTTTTGCTCCCTGGGGTCTAATGTGGGGCTCTGTACACAGCTGGTGCTAAAAACCGTTTGTAAAATAAAATGGTGACAATGTAGAGAGGGTAGGAGAGACTAAGAGGCTGGTGGGAGTTACTGGGGCTTGGCAGGCACCTCTCCGCAAAGCCCTCTTCCCTGCAGCTGCCTCCTCAGCACCCTGGCCTGGCCGGCCCTCCCTCACCCCCTTCATTAGATGAATGTGGAGATGAAGCAACTCTTGGCAGACGTAGAGCAGATGTGGGTGCAGCTGGGACAGCGTAGCAGGTGGCCGTCCTTATCCAGCATCCTCTCGGTGGAGAGCTGGGTTGGGTGGGCTCAGGCCCTTCCAGCCCAGCAGGACTGCGAGTGCCCCGCCACTGGTGGGCTGCTTGAAGCTCCTCTGCAGGGAGCAGGACCTGAAGCTGCACCCCACCATTAGTCCTCAGGCAGCAGAATCTGGGGGAGGGCGCAGCACATCCTCAATGCCCCCTCCACGATTATATGCCAAGCAGCCTGGGGGTGGAACAGGAGGAATTCCGGGCTTTCAGGGTCAAGTGTCTTGACAGGCCTCTTAGCCTCCCACTCCCCAAGCTGAGTCAAATTTTAATTGAAGCCTGTGAAGCGCAAAGTCCTACAGAAACTATTATGAGAGTTTTCTGGAAAATAGAGACTGACGACACTCCCTGTGGGGAAGAAGATGAAAGTAATTCAGGGCTCACCAAGCCCTCTGGGCCACGAGCCCCAGGGCACCCAGCAGAAGTCTTCTCCATCTCTGTCCTATCCCAGTCCTCTCCCAATCCTGATCTCATTAAAAGGAAACCGAAAGGGCAGTATTACTTGGCTTCCATCTGGCCTCTTGAGATTTAAGGACTTTAATCAGTAGAACGTTAAAGAATAAAATAACTCTACAATAACAAGAAAGCTGCCAGCTGGCCCTTCCAGTGACCTTGCCAGAGTGCATGGGAAATGGATCGTACCATCTGGGCTTGACTTCCCTCCGGGGGAAGAGTGAGTGATTGCACACTTTAGGATCCAAGTTTACCCAAATTAAGAAAAGCTGTGCCCGGAAACAGCTTATATGCCGTATCATCTGCTTCCTGCATCCCACTGCCTTCACCCCAACCCAGCCCTCCTCTGTGCCCTATTCCAGGTCCACAGTTCCAACATGGCATTTTTGGGAAGGGTTAACAGCACCACAGAAAGCTCCCAGGGAAGAAATGTGGAAAAGACTTTAAAAGCAGGAAATAAATGACACTGGTTGAAGAGACAAGAAAAGGTGTGGAATTCTTCCCTCAAGTCCAAGTCTAGGATTTCCCAGTCCTCCTCCGGAGGCCATCCTGCTCTCACCGGGGGAACTTACACCTAAATCTGTGAAGGAAAGCCAGAGCAAGCAAACTGCCCAGTGGTGACCGTCGAGGAGGGAGGAGGGAGGAGTACTGGTGGTTCATGCTGACCTTCCCTTCTTCGAGGAGACATTGAGAGGAAGCCTGAGTTTCTAGACTGGGAGGCAGCCCCTAAATTCCCACACACACCCCTCTGGCAATGGCTGACTAGCCCCACCTGATGAGTCCCTGGGGAAGACTCCTCAGGAGGCAGGACTGAAAACTGGGGCTGAGGCTCAGGCTCAGCTCTCTGAAGCGCCACCGTGAGGAAGGGGCTGGGCTCTTCTTCCCCAAAAGGGCTGTAGCAGATGAGGCCGTTCGGGGTAAATCTCCCCACTGAAGGACACACTGCAGCCTTGAGCCACTTGGCCAGCTCCCCCTCTCACCTCGCTGCCCCTCAGACTCCTTTCCACAACCTGTGGAAGCTTTGTCCCCCTTTGGCGGGTAGGACACCACAAGCAGGCCCCTGAGGTCGTCGGCGTCTTGGCCACGGGTGCCCTTTCTGAAGGAAGTGGCCATCCGTCATCCTCCCAGGGAGCACCCTGGGCTACAAAGGTGAGGGTGGCCAGACCATGGTGGGAAGAAGTGGTGGTGAAGAAGAAGTCGCTTCCTGAAGCACGAGAAGCAGACCCTGGAGAGAGATCCTCAAGAGGTCAGCAAGGGCTTGAGGTGGGAATAGGGGCTGGTGGGTGGCACCTGGGTGGCTGGTGTGGATCCCGAGGCTGGGACCAGAGCTTCTCCCAGGCTGTAAAGTGTGACATCAATCACCCAGTAAGTATCGAATCAGACACCTACTGACATTCTGGCACTTTACAGGCACTCTGTTTTTCTTCTCGTGCTTGATCCTCACAACCTTCTGAGGGCAGTTTTTCTCATTTTAGAGAGGAGGGAAGGAAGGTCCAGCAGATCACATTCTAAATAGAATCACTGAGACTCAAAGCTATGTATTGTTTAAAGCTCATGTAACTAAACCTCCTGGCCTGGCCAGCTGAGTCCAGGTGCTCACAGGGCATCAGAGCCCACTCGCTCGCTGCCTTGTCCTGGGGCAGGCTCTCCCCAGACAGAAGTCACACGGCCCCAGGCTCAGAGCCACCAACCCCAGTAAAGAGAAGCTGAGTCTTTTTTTTTTTAAATCCTTTAAGTGAAAGTATAGAGAATATTCATACCTACTACTCAGATTTGTCTTATATCTACTACTCAGCCCTGAGCTGGTGTTTAAAAAAAAGGGTTTTTTTTTTAAGAAAAAAATTAGAAATAGATAAACTGTAGTATATCCAGACAGTGGAATATTATTCAGCACTTAAAAGAAATGAACTGTCAAACCATGAAAAGACGTGGAGGAAACTAAGTGAAAGAAGCCAATCTGAAAAGGCCACATACTGCATGATCCCAGCTATGACATTCTGGAAAAGGCACAACCATGTAGACAGTAAAAAGATAAGTGGTTGCCAGGAGCTGAGGGGAGGAGAGATGAAAAGGCAAAGCACAGAGGATTTTTAGGACAGTGAAATTCTTCTGTATGATACCATAATGGTAGATACAGGTCATTAAACATTTGTCCAAAGTGTGAACCCTAATGAAAAGTAGACTCTGCCTACTTATGATGTGTCATCCATTGCAACAGATGTACCCCTCTGGTGGGGGATGCTGACAGTAGGAAGCTGTGCCTGTGTGGGAGCCGGGGGTACATGGAAACGCTGTCTGCCTGCCTCTCAATTTTGCTATGAACCTTAAACTGCTCTAAAAGAGACAATCTTGTAAAAAACAAAAAGTACAGGAACATTAAGAACAGTAACACCCAAGTCTCCATGATGCCCCACGGAAATAGTTTCACAGGTCAGTCATAACAATGTACCTCAAACCACGTGGCTTAAACAACAGAAATATATTGTCACACAGCTCTGGAGGCTAAACATTCGAGATCACGGTGTTGAGTGGGTTCCATGCCTCTCTCCTAGCTCTGGTGGTTGGCTGGCGATCTTTGGTGTTCCTTAGCTTGCAGATGTATTGCCCTGATTTCTGCGTTCAGGTTCACATGCCGTTCTGCGTGTGTCCGTGTGTGTGTTCAAATTTTCCCTTTTTATAAGCACACCAGTCACATTGGGTTAAGTAGGACCCATCCTAATGACCTCATATTAATTTACCTCTGTAAAGGCCCTATCTCTGAATAAGGTCACCTTCTGAGGTACTAGAGGTTAGGACTGCAACACATCTTTTTTTCAGGAACACAGTGCAACCGGTCATGTCTGCTGGGGACAAGCCTTGCCCCAGCATGTGGCAGCTGATTGAGTGCTATGTTGCTACAGGACCATTCAGACTGTTTATAACCAGCCACGGCCGAGTTGATTTTATTCCATTTCGGAATCTCACAGGTAATTTCACAAATGGACTACAACTCACCCCTGGCTCTCCCATCAGAGCAGCCTGTCAACCCGCAGCGTGGCAAGACACATTTTCCAGGTGTCACAGGACAGTTCAACACGTGGCAGGTCAGCAGGCACTCAGCAGGTGCAGACAAGTCTCCACCAGTCACATCCAAAGGGTCTCAGGGAGACCTGGGCACTCCCAGAGCTTCTCTCTTTCTTATTTGTCTCTGTGCCACAGAACCCATGCCAGACATTCCACCAGCAAGAATTTTCTCAAGATCTGGTGCCCAAAACATACTTACTGTCTGACACAGTCATTTTTGTACCTTTTAGAGTCCCTTTTCGCACTGCTGACTCCAAGAAAGCTAATTAATTATTTTATACACCACTAATAAATTGACAAAGTGATTAATCTGATAATCCTTTTTATGAAATTACCTCTGAAATGCTAACTTCTCATCTTCTGAAACTCACTGTGTAAAGTACTCTGAAGATTACATTGTACCAGGTTTTGGCTCTGTAAATCTTAATGGCAGGGTTTTTTTTTTTTTTGCCAAAAGCAATAAAAGCTGTCCTGAATTTATCAGGTCAATCAGGAAAGAGGCAGGCAGCAGAAAATTGAAGGTGACTCACACTGCAAGTGGGGTTTGACTGACATCGTTCGAACCTGCTGTTGCCAGTTAGCTACGGGGGACTTTGCATCAGTGAGCGGTACAGTGGTAGCCTCATGAAGCAGAGGGGCATGTGGAGCCTGCAGTTGCAGGTGTCAGGGCTCCCTGCCTGAGAGAAGAACTAGTGTGGTTCTGAGTGGTCCCTCCCCCCACCCCTTCCACCGCCTTTCCTGCATCTTCTCTCAGTGCACCCACTGAGTCTCTTGGTGGTAGAGACCTCCCAGCGTGTCCCATTTGGGCTCAAAGCCCACAGAGAGCTGCTTCATGGCTGCCCACCCTGAGCAATCCCCAAAAGTCCTTGGCATGGGGTAGGGGCAGGGAGCGCACCTTGGCTATTGCCCTCCACTACACTTTACTCCACCCAGTGGGCAGGCTCCTGGACTCCAGTCTCAGGCTCTACCCATGCTGTCATCGCTGTCCCACAGAGGGAATCTTAAAGCCTGCAGAGGCTACCAGGTCTGGTAGAAATAGCAGAGTCCATCTTCATTCTTTTTTCTAACAGCTAGTTTTCTTTCTTTTTCTTTTTAATAGTAAGTCCTGTGCATCCCAAGTGTGCCTTACCAAGAGAGTGTTAGGTCACTTTGCCAGCATCTTCTAAAGCTGCATGCAGAACACCTTTTACTTGTTTTGAGAACAGGTGAAAGACAAAACCTATTGAACCCATGGCCTCATGTATCCATCCACCAGCCCAACCATCCATCTATCTCTCCACGCCTCCACCCATCCATCCACCCATCCATCCATCCATCCATTCAGCAGTGTATATTGAGCAACCTACTGTGTGTCAGGCTCTGTTCTAGGCTCTGGGTTAAAACAGAACAAGAACACGGCAGGGATGATTCCTGCCCTCATGACACTTCCATTCTAATAGAGAAGTTGGACAATAAATAGGATAAATGCTAAATGAGATGGTGTTCCATGCTTTGGGAAGAGGATAGGGACTTCTAGTCGGGGTGGCAGTCTACAATTGTAAATAGAGGGGTCAGGGAAGGCTGGGTTGCCTCACTCACCTCACTCTATCCCTGGCTCTGCCTCATGGAGAAGATGACATTTGAATAAAGAACAGAAGGAGGTGAGAGATTGAGCCCTGTGGATGCTGGAGGAAGAGACTTCCAGGCAGAAGGAACAGCCAGTGCCAAGGCCCTAACACAGGAGCATGACTGACTGGTCAAGGAACAGCGAGGCAGTGCTGTGGCCGGAAGAGGGTGGCGGGAGTTGAGGTCAAAGAAGTTTGGAATCCACGGGCCATGGAAAGAGCTGAGTAAACTTGACACTTCTGGGTGCTCTGCAAGGGAAGAGAGCATCTCTGTGCCTTGTTCCTGTGCTCCCCTGGCGTTCCCTTGTACCCCAATTATGACCTGAAGGTGTCTATCCCCCAGGCAGACCACAGCCTGAGGGCCCAGGCTAAGAGAAGGGTGTGGGCTGGAGAGCATGTGGGTGAGCATTTCTTGGGCTCTGAAGCCCCACTGCCAGGATTCTCTACATGGCCTGGGGAAACTGAGGTTAGAGGGCACCTCCCTCCAGCTTCCCCTGTACTGTCACTGCAGCCGCTTCTCCTCTGAGCAGGTTCCTTCTAATTCGCTGGGGCAGGAAGTTTACCACCTACAAGTTCCCTCTGTTCCAGATTTTCTCCCATCCCTGCGCACACAGGTGAGATAAACGAGAGAAGGGCCCTTCCCAGGAGCTGCTGGGCCGATTCCTCTGGTGGAAAGTTTCTGATGAATCTAACATGAAGCCTTGAAACCAGAAGCGGTTAATGATGCCCTCACGTTGCTCCTGAGGGAAGACCGCAGTGCGAAAGAGGGCTCCAGTCAGCGGCTGGAGAGTGGCACGGTGAAAAAGAGACAGTCATTGTCCTCTGGAGGGCTGAGGGGGACACTCCTCTGTGACCCTACACCCAAAATCCTGTGTGGAAGTTAGTCTATTTCATCACACTCCCCCCTTCAGCAAAAGGATGACTTTTCCATAGTCATGATGCCACATTGAGGTGTCAGCCTTCCAGGGGTCTAAAGGAGGTACAGGAAGAGCCCAGGAGGCCTCTGAGGGGAGCACAGAAGGGACAGCAGTGTCCCCTAGCTCACCCGTAGTTGTTTGTTTCAGACAAACCCTGTCTTTGGGCCTGGGGCTCTGAATCTAATCTGTGACTGCCCCTCCGCTGAGCTGCCCCACGAAAAAATTTTCTGGAAAGGGACAGCCAGGTGTGAGTTTGGGGAGACTGAGAGCTCTGGCATCTCTGTTTTTTGCTTCCTGGGTGTGAGGATAAGTGACAGATCGATAGATGTCACAATAGCACTTTGGTGTGTCCCCAGCCCTCTGGCTCATCTGCCACTCCACCGCGAGTGCCTGACGCCTGCCTCCTCTCCTCCCCTCCTCCCCTCCTCCAGGCCCACATCACGTTCCAGAACAACCCCCCACCGTGTGCGTGGGGAGCGGCCTTACTCCCTGTTGCTTTTCTAATGAGCCTTTTCTTCCTCCTGAAGCCACACTCACACACCCGAGAGCGCCATATCGACTGCCCTCTGGGTTGCCATGGAAACAGAGCATTCTTCCCTCCTCCCTCTTCTCTGTTTACCTTGGTCAGGGACTGCGGCAAAAACCAGCCTGTCGCGGAAGGAGAGGGAGGACGAAAAGCCAGCCGCTCTAAACCAGATCATTCCGGTTCAGAGTGGTGCCCCCGCCCCTTTCCAATCCTGAGAGCCTTTCCGGTAGGCGTGGTGGGCTACACTGGGAGGCTCTGGGCCCTGGGGCGGGCAGGGTCCGGGGCTCCTCTCTCCGGCCTACCCCTCTTCTTTCCTGCGGGGCTGGGTGATAGCAAAGTCTTTGCAGTGCTGGCCCAGGTTGCTGGGCCTAAGCCCAGAGCTGGGCAGTTGTTCACTGCACAAGAGCGCCCTGCTGGGGGTGAGGAGGAATGAGAGCTGAAATCCAGCCGTGCCCGCTGCCCCGGCCCAAAGCATCCTCACCCTGCCTGGACCACTGCCATGTCCTCCTAACAGAGTCCTGCTTCCTCTTGCACCTTCCCTAAGGCAGCCAGAAGCATCCTTTTGTGTTCTCCCTGCCTTAACGTTTTCCACGTTAAGGAAATAAAAGCTCTTAAAATAAAAGCTAAACTATCTGCCCAGCTCGTTATGATCTGCCTGGCCTGCCTCTCCTTTCTCGCCTCCAGTACCTCTTCTTCCGGGTTCCCCTTTCTCCTTCCTTCTAGAAGACTCCAGGAGGTGGGTTTGGTCTGTTACCATAACATTCTTCCTCATGGCGCTTTCTAGCTCTTCCTGCACATTCACTGGGTTCTTAAAAAGGCTTTATCTAACTTTTCTATGTAAAACGTAAAATAGTTCGTATTCACATTAGCCCCCCCACCCCGACCCGCACCCAGATGCAAGCTCCCTGAAGGCAGGGCCATATTCCCTGCTGCATCCCCAGCACCCGGCACTGCGCTCGGCACGTAGTAGGTGCTCAGTTAGGAACTGACCCAGAGGTAGTGAGCGCCGGACCCCCTCCACCACCACTTCTTTCCGGGTCCGGCCGGGTGGCGGTTGCCCGCTCCGGGAGGAGCTCCGCCGGCTCCATCCCCGCTAGGGGGAGGCAGGGAAGCCACCGGGACGGCTCTTCGCAACGCTTGACTGCAGCACCAGGCAATCTTGCTGCGGACGGAGAAACTCGACTCTTGACTGCCCCGCCGTGTGTCCAAGACCCAACCGGGCAAAAGCCGGGGCGGCAGGGCGGCGGGGGTCTCACTGCAGGAGTGGAGGTGGCGCGTCGGGGATCCGGCGTCCCTAAAGCTGTAACCCCAGCGCACCCCGAAGTCCCGACAGCACGGCCCTTCCCTGCCCCAGCCCAGGGCTTCACAGCCCGGAACAGCCCACCCCCGGGAGGCTGGGGTGGGCGGATGTGGTTCTCCAGACGCCCTTCGATAAGGGTTCTTTCGGTAACGACTTGCTGCCTGCAGCCAGGCCCCGCCCAGCGGGTGGCAGTTATTACAGAAAACCTCTCGGAATTGCAGGCAGGGCGCCCCTTTTCTGGGCTTTGCGGTTCAGGCAAATCCCCTGGAGGGCTGAGGGGGTCACTCCTCCAAATCTCGTGACAAATCCCCTGACTTGGCTTGTCTTGGCTTCGCAATCTGTGAAATGGGGTAAGACCTCCCCATCCTTTGATTCACCCAATCATTTACAGCCAGACTTGGTCAGAAGGGACCCAGATTTACGGTATCCTGAAGAAGAACTAAATTGAAAGAGCTGTGAAATTCTGCTTTATAAAGGGGAAAAAAGGAAAAAAACAAAAACCAAGAACACACTTGAAAAATCAGCAGCCCCTGCTGCAGCTCTTCTTACCTTCCAACCTGTCTTACAACTGTTAGCTCTTTTGTCTTTCTCTGGATACCTTTACATCTCTAATTAATGTGTTTCCTGGTTATTTGAGACATTCTGTATTTTTCCTTCCTGGTATGGAAGATGAGGATTTATCTCACTTCCATCACTCCACCTCTCCTGTCTCATCCTCTCATATTTAGTTTCTTTATTGGTTATTTTTATAATTTTAGTAAGTAAAAGTACTTCACCTTTATTTCTTGTTCCATCAACTCCAGAGAGCAACCTAATAATGCTTACTATGTGCCAAACATCGTTCTGAGCACTTTACATGTATCTACTCATTTAAGGCACACAATAATGTCAAGAGACAGGTTATTGTTATTAGCCCCATTTTAGGGAAAAGAAAACTAAGGCCATTTTACTATCATTACTAGTGGTTTTCCAAGGGGGAGAGGAGGGGAATGTGGGTGGCCAGTCTGCCATCTTCACACTGAGTTCTAACAGAGCAAGTTTTGGGAAGCACTTACTCTGACCTTTGCTCTAGTTCCCTGTTGGGCAATGAAGTGTGACAGTGACAAGTAAGGTAGGGAGGTCTCCCGGTCATCTCAGCCAGTACCAGACAGTTAGCTCAGCTGTGGGACAAGGATTCCCAAATGTTGTAAACCAGCTAAATTGTAATCAACTGAGGAGTATGTTAAAATAACCCACCTACAAGAACAGAATCTTTGGGATTTGGGCCCGGGAATCTGTTTTTAACAAGCAGGCCTCCTGCTTGGAAACCAGTGGGTCATAGGTGAGTCTGGCAGCTGGCCTTGTTCTATTCCATACTCCATTTTCAGCACTCTTCCTCGGAGCCTGCAATGAGCAAGTGGGTACCCTTTACTGTGTCACTCACTAAGGAACTACCTGGCTTTTGCAGTAGACCTCCTATCAAAGTAGGATCAACGATTTTAATATGAAGATCAAGGTGAAGAGCTAATGCAAGTCCAGTCCTAGTGTGGATTCTCACGTATGATGTTCACCATTATGCTCCAGGCCTTTGGTCATAATCACAGAATGTTAGATCTGAAAGGGACCTTGGAGATTATCTAGCCAAACTCCTCACTTGACAGATGAGTAAACCAAGGCCCAAAGGAAAGCAAATTGCATACAGAACTATTATGGACTGAGCCAAGAGCCAAGCCCTGGTCTCCCAATTCTCCAGGATGTCTCTTTCTAGAACTGTACTGTCTAGGTAGCCACTAGCCACGTGTGACTATTTACATTTAAATAAATTTAAATCAAAAATTAAAAAAAAAAGTTCTTTTTAGATTTGTTTTATTTTTTTATTTTTGGCTGCATTGGGTCTTTGTTGCTGCGCGCGGGCTTTCTCTAGTTGTGGCGAGCAGGGGCTACTCTTTGTTGCGGTGCGTGGGCTTCTTACTGCAGTGGCTTCTCTTGTTGCGGAGCACGGGCTCTAGGCACGCAGGCTTCAGTAGTTGCAGCACGTGGGCTCAGTAGTTGTGGCTCGCGGGCTCTAGAGTGCAGGCTCAGTAGTTGTGGTGCATGGGCTTAGTTGCTCCGCGGCATGTGGGATCTTCCCGGACCAGGGCTCAAACCCGCGTCCCCTGCATTGGCAGGCAGATTCTCAACCACTGCGCCACCAGGGATGCCCTAAATCAAATTTAAAATTTAGTTTCTCAGTCACAAAAACCACATTTGAAGTGCTCAAGAGCCAGCAGCTAGTGGCTACTACATATTGGACAGTGCAAACACAGAACATTTCCATCATCATGGAAAATTCTATAGTCTAGGGCTGGTCTGGAACCTGGGCCTTTCATCTGAAGGTAGTATGGGAACTGGATAGTTTTATCAATGTCTTCTCCCCTCAAACAATTACTGCAGAAGAGTAACTCAAGAGAATGTGGTTGTACTATTCAGTTAACAGTTAGCATTTTGACAAACTAGAATTTTATGCATGAAACTGGCAGAACAAACCCACCCAAACCAACTAAGCCACTGAAAACTCCTCCTAAGCTATGATGGGTCTCATCTAAGAACCAAATCAGATACTAACATGAGTTCATTTTGAAGCTCTGGCTGGTTTAAAAGGTGTAAGGTCCATTTCTTATTCCTGGTAGGTCTGAGGGGAGTATACTTTCGAAGAGACAGGAAAAATAAACCAAAGGAAATAAAATTGCTCTGCATAATAACTGTAAAATGTTAACTGTAAGGTGGGCTGGGAAGGTTTATGAATTAATTAAGGGGCAGAAATTGTATCTTTTCCTCCTTGTGGATTTATAATATCTAAGATTATTCATCCCGGGAAGGTGTATTTGATCCAAAAGTTTGTCAATGGAAACACTGGAAAACAAAAGGTGCACGTGCAATTCTGGATGGGAGACCTTAAAAGTGACCAGACTTGCGAGTGTCCACCCTACTTCACACTTAAGAGACATGAAGAAAAGTACTACTGGGAGAGGGGATCTCATTAGAAGTGAAACTACACAAAGCAGAGGTCTTGGAGAAGGAAGCATCTGGAAGACCAGTTTCAGAACTAGGAACTGTGGTTTCATTCCCAAAGGACCCTGGCGAAGGGCTCAGATCCTCCTGGGGCTTTTCCCTTGAATCATACAGATAGTCTTGACTCTGTATGTAAAGGTTCACATTCTTCCTCTGAATTCCCTGTAGCTCCTCCAACCCTTCAGAAGTCTTGATACATCCATATAAACTTGTGTGGAGGTGGTCTGGGGAATATATGGGAGGGGGCAGTAAAAGGGAGTATGCCTTGCCCCACAGTTACTCCCTTGCTGATGTCCTGGAGGGAGCCACGTTGCGTTGAGTGGATTACGTGTGTCCAGGAGTTGCAGAGGGGTAGCAGAGAGAAGGTGCCCACAGTGGGTGGGTGTGAAAGGTAGACGACACAGAGAGAAAACTGGACCCTGTGGGGTGGTAAAGGGAGTGGCGGAGGTAGGTTGGACTGACGCTTGGGTCATAGAGGTGAGCTCACATACACAAGTTACTGTCAGACAATCAAGGTGGCCTTGAACCAAATAGATCTGGATAAGATTTATTGATCAGATTGTTTTAGAAAACCAACAGCAAAACACTGACAAGATACATAAATACAGACTGGACATTTTAGGGTAAATTCACTATATTTCCTACCTGCTTGTAGGAAACCAGGTAAGGTGGGAAAAGCTGTCCTGATCATATGGCATGCACACCAGACTGCAAAAGGACTTCCACACTATTTAACAGGACTGTGGCAAACAGCTTTAAAGTAAGGCAAGCATCGTGTGTGGCCTAAGCATATCCTGTACCAAGAGCCAAGCCCAGGCTCGCCTCAGAGACTGCATGTGAGTGAGGTTTCCCTTTCTTGCCTAGTTCTTCCAGAAAAATCCTCATTGGCAGGTGCCTTTACAGGGAGATGCCTGGCGCTGTCCCTGCTCAGACTCTGTGTACAAGGAAGTGGCTTTAGAGAAAGTCAGTGTGTTTCTGATGCCTCCTTTGTATTCTAAATGTGCAACTAGTAAAACAGCAATTACTACAGCTTGGTGAAACTGCCTCTGACTCACCCTGTACAGTGACTAAGCAGGGCCTTTTAAAAACTTCTAAAAAGTGAAAATAATAAAAGATAAAAACATGAAAGTTATGTTAAAAAGATGGTACCACTTTTGAAGCACAACTCAAAACTTCTTTCCGTAACACCAGATGAGGGAAGAGGTCGCTTTCCACCAAATCTAACGACCTTAGAAGGGAAACGCCACTGCTGGGCATGATCTGGTGGCGATGCACACAGAGGTTACAGAACTCTACCAAGCCTACCTCAGGCCCTGCCAACGCTCCTAGAGCCCCGAGGCATTTGGGGAACCTAAGCAATTTAAGCGAATGGTGACCAGTTTTGGAAGCTTATGATCATAGGACCATAAACCCTCATCCATCCTGGAGCTCAATGCTAGAACAATGAAGAAGGAGGAAACTGACTTTTTGTGCTATATCGGAGTGCTGGCAGGTGGACAATTCAGTAACCTATGCCACCTTCTAAACATCTTTAAGACCACATAAAAACAAACTGGTTTTACAGAATTAAGACCAACGTAGTCTTAAGAGGATAATTCAACCTTTCCTACAAGCCAAGCTATGGGTTGTAGGAACGGTTGAGGCCCCTTCAAGAATAGTGGAAAAGCAAGTATTTGCAAAGATCCAAAGAAATGTATTCAAATGATGGGATTTCCTCTGCATCATACACAGCTTTTTTCTTCCAATATGTGCTAAGAGTTCTTTGGTGGTTATAGGAGAGACAGCCTAGAACTCAGGGCAGGAGACTATGCCAAAGCAGAAGAGTGAAGAGTGACATCTAAACTCACCATTAACCACTGTCATCAGGTTGATCACCTACAGCTAACTGGGCTGCTTACATGTTTGCTGGTTTCTAGCCCCTCCGTGATTCCTGCTTTTCAATTTCTAACTACACATTAGCCCCACTCCACTGAAAAGGAGGTGCTTGTGGGAAAGGGTAGGGAGAAGGAAGAACTATAAATCAATCAATTGTCTGATAGAAAAGTTGAAACACTGATTATCTATGGATTTCAATTATCTGTGCTTTACTCTGGGTAATGAAAGGTCACTGTTAATATACCTTTTGCTTAGAAATGTTAATGTTTATTATTATATTTTTAAATCTAGCTATGTAATGGACACGAATAGCTTAGAGCAAATTTTTACATCATGTCACCAGGGCCCTGAAAAAAGAAGATTTGCCAGTAGAAAGGGTTTCAGTTTGGCCCCTGAACAGTTAAAATTTCAATCTATTCTATATTGGTTTATAGATTTTCCAGAATATGGAAAATACCTTATTAAATGAAGAAAGCATCATTTTCTTCATTTAATAAAGTATTACTTTCACAGATAAATTAGTATATACATGGGAGAACTCATAGTATTAAATATTAGGTTTTAATTCTCCATTTAGAAAACTCCTTACAGGTAGACTTCCTTGTTCCTAGGCAAAGAAATGTAAGAAGATATGCAAACATGAGATAGTACAAATATGACTGGGGAAAAGTCTCAATTCTAACAAACCCAAGAAACAACAAGTCTCTAAGAGTTGGAGTAAGGAGGCACTGGACTTGAAAGTCCAGCTTTACCAAGAGTTGGCCTAAGCCAGCCAATCACATCTCAAATTTTTGGTATAATTTGACTCTAAAGTAATGAGCTGGCTTCCCCAAGACAGATACAAAATAGTAGTCTACCTGCTTTATAGTCACACCTTATATATAATCTGTATATATCCATATGTGTTTCTATATATTGCACTTAAACTTACAGGACTGCAGTAAGATAGCTGGGAGTACCTCAAAGAGGCAGAGAAGCAGCAGGCATAAACTTTCCTAAGTCAAGTAACAGTGTCAGGAATTCAGAGTGCTGGTTTTGGATATACTAAAATGCCTGGTGACTCCCTATATAAAATTCTAGTCATCTACATTTAAGTCATCATACACACAGTCTCATTTGGCATTCAGAACACGTGCACATGTGTGGTTCTATAGCACTCAGAGCTGATCATACTACATCATTTTCACTAGTGTTATATTAAAAGAAGACACTTTAGACCAAAGATATGTACTTTTATGAAAACGTCACACACAAGGTGTTGGATGTCAGGCCTCCAAAGTCTACCTCAAAGAATACCGCCTTCAAAAGGTTTTAAAAAGGATGCTAGGGGCTTCCCTGGTGGCGCAGTGGTTGAGAGTCCACCTGCCGATGCAGGGGACACGGGTTCATGCCCCGGTCCGGGAAGATCCCACATGCCACGGAGTGGTTGGGCCCTGAGCTATGGCCGCTGAGCCTGCGCGTCTGGAGCCTGTGCTCCGCAGCGGGAGGGGCCACAGCGGTGAGAGGCCCCCGCACCGCAAAAAAAAAAAAACGGATGCTAGCAAGTGTGGATTGAACCAGCCTCTCTTTCAGCTCTCTGGTGTCACAGAATTAGAGACCTGCTTATATCCCAAGGACTATGGAAGGATAAGCACAGAGGCTGAACATTCAGTCTTTGGTCCCTATAAATCCAGGACATTGTAAATAGAGCTGCAATGAACATTTTGGTACATGACTCTTTTTGCATTATGGTTTTCTCAGGGTATATGCCCAGTAGTGGGATTGCTGGGACATGGAAGCAACCTAAGTGTCCATCAACAGACGAATGGATAAAGAAGATGTGGCACATATATACAATGGAATATTACTCAGCCATAAAAAGAAACGAAATTGAGTTACTTGTAGTGAGGTGGATGGACCTAGAGTCTGTCATACAGAGTGAAGTTAAGTCAAAAAGAGAAAAACAAATACCATATGCTAACATATATATGGAATCTAAGAAAAAAAAAGTCATGGAGAACCTAGGGGTAAGACGGGAATAAAGACATAGACCTACTAGAAAATGGACTTGAGGATATGGGGAGGGGGAAGGGTGAGCTGTGACAAAGTGAGAGAATGGCATGGACATACATACACTACCAAACGTAAAATAGACAGCTAGTGGGAAGCAGCCGCATAGCACAGGGAGATCAGCTCGGTGCTTTGTGACCACCTAGAGGCGTGGGATAGGGAGGGTGGGAGGGAGGGAGACACAAGAGGGAAGAGATATGGGAACATATGTATATGTATAACTGATTCATTTTGTTATAAAGCAGAAACTAACACACCATTGTAAAGCAATTATACTCCAATAAAGATGTTAAAAAAAAAAAAAATCCAGGACTTTTGCCACCCTGGGTAGTGTGACTTGTTTAATTATGGATAGTTTCTGCCCAAACATCCAGAGACTAGATTGTAGTCACGCAGCAAAGCTTTGTTTTGAACTAATGGAGCTGCTCAGACTGACCTGCTCTGGAGAGAGCTCCTCATTGAAACAAGCCTAGCAGTGGGTGGCAAGAAGTTAAAGGCCAGACTGGTCATGGCAAGAGGGGGATGGGGCCTCTGGAGGAGATGCTCCTTTCCCTGCTTCCCCCCTACCCCCTCATTCCCCAAAAGGACCCAAACTCGCAGATGAAAGGTTGTTACAAAACCTTGCAGAACACAGGCTCTATGAACTCAACCCCACATGGATGGGAGGTTATAATAAGGCCTGGAGGTTAGGAGTCCAAGTCTAGAGGCCACATTCTTCTCTTCCCCAGAATTGAACACTAGATGGTAACTTTTTAGCCATAACTCAAAGGTGATTTTCAATCCACACATGAGCCTAAGAGATTCCCTTCTGGGACGAAGGGAGAAGAATAATTTTAAAAGCTAAGCGAAAAAGAGGCACTTAAAGCAAAAACATGTCCCTAGTCTCCCATCTGAGTCTCCTGTTATGATGTAACCAACGGAATGATCAGCACTGTGCCCTCTTGCACACCTTTAGCACCTTTCATACACCGAAGGACTTCCAACTGCTCATGTCTCAGTGACCACTCTAGCAGCCTGATGGCAAAGCAAGTAAAAACTTAGGTCATTTCTTTTTTAGAATTAAAATACAACACAAAACAAACCAGAACTAAAATTTCACACCAAAAAGTGAATGATCCTCAGTTTCATTCCTTCCTCATGCTAGTTTTAAAAATGATACTTAGTTCTTCAGGAAGAATGACCTGTGGCTTTTCCCCAAGACCTTTTATCCAGTTACTAGGCAATTACTCACAGCACCATGCACATTAAAGCAGACAGAAAATGAGGCAAAAAGCTAAGAGAAAAATCAAGGGCCAACTGGCTTTCTAGAGAAAAAACCCATTGCCTGAGAATACGGCAGGTGCACGGCCCAGAGTGAGAAAAGAAACAGTTCTGGAAGAGATACGGGAACATATGTATATGTATAACTGATTCACTTTGTTATAAAGCAGAAACTAACACACCATTGTAAAGCAATTATACTCCAATAAAGAAAGAAAAAAAAGAAACAGTTCTGAAAGGAAATGGCCGATATGACAGTCAAAGTTCACAGCCCAGAGCAGAAGCCCTCCCTGCCCTGCTCTATTCAGGCCTCTCACGAACTTACATTTATGTCCCACAGCATTTATGCCACACACTTAGGGTCTGCAATTCCCCACAGTGAAGTCAAAAAGATACTTGAAACCATTAATAAGCATAGGAGAATTTCAAAACTGCCCAGAACGAAGAACTGTGACCACCATAAATTTCTTGATTTGAAATGTTCTTGGTGCCATAATTTCTAAGAGCAACAACAAACAGCACAACTACAACACACAATAAAGTCTTTAGACAAGTCAACTCTAACCACTGCTGGCACCATAAGGATGAGAAAAGAAATCACTAATCAAGAGCTGCTGAGCTGCTTAACTTTTCTCCAAAGTCAAAGGATCGGTTTGGGTACCTAGGCAGCAAGACATCAACCACCGCTGCCATTAGATCCAGCTACTCAGTTAGATGTACCTTTGAAAACAGGAAGTTAAACATCTAGCTTTCCCTATAATCTGCAAGAGTCTCAAGGTTAGCCTTCTTGTTCTATCCCCAAAACTTCTTGTTGTTGTTGCTGGATTTAATTTTTTTAATTTTATTTTTGTTTTTATTGATGATGTTGCTTTAATTTATAGAGCACTGCCTGACAGGGTCATATCCTTAGAGTTCCTTTAAAATTTTCTTTATCTTATCTTAATTCATAACATTATTAAGGTACTTTCAGACTTTCCCTCAACTCCATCAAGGAAGAGGGAGTATGTGAGTATGTGTGTGTGTACTGGGGCAGAAGGGAGAGAAGCAAAGAAAAAAGCACGAGGGAAAGTGAGATTCCATAAACTTAAAACAATTTACAGAAAGGCATCTGATGTATTTTCTGAATAAGGCCTTGATCAGGGTAACCAATCCTCTCTGTAGCACATTCTACACTGCCCATAAATAAAGGAGTCTCTTTAAATTAACATTTCCAGTATCAATGAACAGTCCAGAAATCCTCATTTCAAGCGCTCGATGAGTCCCTGTGTGAGTCCAAGGTGCAGAAGCTGTGTCCGGGAGAGGTTTGCTAGGTTGGGGAAGGCCGCAAGCAGCTTCTCCCACGCCAGTTCCAGCAGGCTAGGAACCACCAGCCAGATCTTAAACAACGACCCAGTCCGTTTATTTTCGTGGATGTTCACCACTCCTCCATGAATGTACATGCAACCAGCCTATGAACAAATGGCAGTCAAAAGAGGATAAATTCACATGGGAGAGAAACAGGTACTTACGCTGAAGATTCAGCCAAAAAGTTCATAGTAGGCTGAATTAGATAACAGGAAACAGAAAAGTTTCTCACTGATCCCAACACAGTGCAGAGATCAAGAAAGGCTTAGATACTGAACGAGTTACTAAGGGAAAAGCAAGAGGCTGGTTTTGCTTCAACAACAACTCCAACAACGGTAAACTAAGACTATATTAGGCATCCCCTGTGCCCAGTACTAGGGTACAAGGTGAAAATAAAGGTCTTTGCATTCAAGAAAGTAGTAGAATCTTCAATAACATGGCATCTTGGGGGTAAAACTGTTCTGCCCTCCCAGGAAACACCTTTGATGTCACTGTCAGGGCCTGAATGCCACATGTAGCATTGCTTTTACATTTATGTTGCTCTTTTAAGCTTGTATTATGATGGTTTTTCTCCCCTTTTCTCAGGGGAAGAGCTAGCTTTGGAAGAAATGTCTTAAAAACACATTCTTAATCCAAGCTTTGCTAATATCAGAATCTTCTTTTCTTGCTCTATGTCTAAAAGTAGCTCCTTATCATCTGCAACTACATAAAAGAGATACGAAAACGAAGGCTTACTGGTGTAACAGCTGCACAGTGAAAATACACTGGCTCTGGCATGGTAGCTGGGAGCTTTACCCACTGAAAAGTCTGCAGATTCAGCTTCCAGATGTCTCCCAGGATCACTTCTCCATTATAGCCCCCGCAAATAAACACATCTATCAGGAAAAGAGAAAGCCAAAATCACACAAAGGAAAAGGGCCACGGTGACAGCATGTCCTGTCGTAGCTCTCACGGCTAGATGACACGGGACCAGTTCAGTCCCCATACCATACAGGACTCCAGCTGGCGGGCCGCTCATGCTGCTGTCCTGTCCCTCACTAAAGTTCGGACACTATGTTGGGATCTTTGCTAGGGCTAAGAATGCAAGCCTCTGAGGAAGCTTCATGTCTAGGTTCTCAACTACAGGTGCCAGGCATAGGAAGTGAATGAGCAAGAAGGTTCAGGGAAAATAAACAAATAGGTCCAGGGAACAAACAGGAGTGCACATGCTCTAACGAGGAAGATGGCGATGCAGCTCCAGCTCATCGATGCCATGCAGGACTTAGGGTCAGCAACTGCCAGATCTTCCAATTTTTTAAAAGACGCTGGAAATCCAGATTTTTTGAAAAGTGAAACATTTTGATTTTTAAGTATTGGCCACTAATTCAAAAACTGTAATACACACATGAGCCAAAGAGAACACATCTGCAGGCCACCAGGCTGCAAACTCTTCTTTTAAATAACATCCTTAAAAGGACATTTTTCTGCCCATAGAGACAAACATTCTCTACTTAGACAATTAACCTGCAGTGTTCAGTTTGGGGGCACAAAAGAGGTTTTTCCAAGCTTTCTTCAGCCCAAAGAGGACAGTTTGAAGTCCCATTTGACCTGTACCAGTTATTTATGTCAGGAACAAAACCTTCCCAAAATCAAAGGGTTTTTTTTTATTATTGTTCTTGTTGTTCTTTTTGTTTTTATAAAGTCAGTTAGTTATAACTAAGTAGACAACAAGTAACAAAGGCTATGTGAACCTTCAAGCTAAATGCCCACAACTATAGCTGAATTCCATTTGTATGGTGCCTGGACTCAAAGAACCAAATGAATACATGTGTTAACTCAAATCTAGATCAAGTTTAAGTCAATACAATTAAACTATAAAATACACTGGAAACTTTTCTGGCTAGGATTTTAAAAAAGTATGGATCCGTTCTTAAGAGAGGCAAAGCTGAACAACGCCACTATCTATAAATCTTGTCCAAAGAGCAGAAGCATAATAAAAAGCGCCTCTGTACTAGAGATGGCAGCATAATCCTAGTAAAATCTGAACTAAGCTGCTGAAAGGATACAGGCTATCAAACTCATTTACACACACCTTCCTCCCCTCCAAAAATTTAAGGTGGTATATCCAACTATAAAATAAGCTGTAAATTAAAAGACAGGATGGTTGTCCAAAGAGGAGTCATTTATCACACTCAGATAAAGTAGCTGCAGCTGCTTTCTGAAGCCATACAATGCTTGTGTTGTAATATGGCCAAAGAATGAGCTAAGAGTTCTATCTGGTATCAGATAGAGAAGAGAATAAACTTTATGAAATAACACTCTGAAGGAGCTATTACAATTTTAATACAATGTCTACCAAGGTTTCTACTGTATGTCAGGATTATTAGTGTTACCCACCAAAACCAGAGACATCTGTTGAGGTGGGGTGCTGAACGATTAGGTGGTAGAGTAAAAGCTTATTTATCACTTATTTTTGAGTTCTGTGATAACTGAGGGAACCCAAACAATACATTCGTTTACTTTATGAAAATTGCTGAGAGACGCAGAACTTTATGGATTTCCCTTTAAGTCTAAACTAAAGGAAATAGACTCTCCCCAAAGTTATGCCTCTTTTAAAGAGTTATCATTAAGAAATAAAATAATCTCAGTAGGTACAATTACAAAAATGGAACCAGCCTGTTATTTAAAATCCTTACCATTTTTTATCTGAACACAACTGTGACACCTTCGGGCTGCAGGAAAACCTGCCAAACACATAAATACAGAAATTCCATTATTCACAGAAAGACTGGGAGTAATGGTGATCCGACACAGCAAAAGACATACTATGAATAACTTGCTTAAAACAATCCCTTTGTTTTGCATTAAAGCAAACATTGACTAGTCCTTCCAATCCTGCCTTATTTCACACTAGAATAAAGCCATCATAAGTTTCATCATAATGATATAATGTTAAGGTGTCAGGAAAACAAAGTGAGGTGGCAGTGGGCAGGGGTTACTAGTGGCTTTCCCAAGCCCTTTTACCCACAAAGAGACAGGTAGATCTTGATTTAAGGGCCTACTTTTATCCTTCCCAGATTTCCCCTCTGCCACAGAATTCACCAATCCCCATTAAAAGTCTGTGCTCATGGGCTTCACTGGCGGTACAGTGGTTAAGAATCTGCCTGCCAATGCAGGGGACACAGGTTCAAGCCCTGGTCCGGGAAGATCCCACATGCCGAGGAGCAACTAAGCCTGTGCGCCACAACTACTGAGCCTGCGCTCTAGAACCCGTGAGCCACAACTACTGAGCCCACGTGCCTAGAGCCTGTGCTCCGCAACAAGAGAAGCCACTGCAATGAGAAGCCCGCACACCGCAACGAAGAGTAGCCCCCGCTCGCTGCAACTAGAGAAAGCCTGTGCCCAGCAATGAAGACCCAATGCAGCCAAAAATAAATAAATAAATAAATTTTTAAAAAATGAAATAAAAAAAATAAAATTCTCTGCTCAGTTGCTGAGGAAGAATAATAATTGGACTAAGGAATACAAGTAATTTCTTTTCTTTTTTTCTTGGCCACGCCGCACAACATGCGGGGTCCTAGTTCCCAGATCAGGGATCGAACCTGTGTGCCCTGCAGTGGAAGCTTGGAGTCTTAACCACTGGATCGCCAGAGAAGTCCCACAAGTAATTTCTAATACCAATTTAACAGATATTTTTCTTCTCATATAATGCAATAAAATTACTTTTTCTCTTTCAGAACAAGTAAAACTATAAAATACATTTATTAAAGATAAATGAATCAATATTTTAAATTTACCTATTTTTTCATGGGGTTTTGTTGCAATTTCCTCCCATGCATTCGTTTCAAGGTTATATGCATGAATCTTGGAGAGAAAAGAAAAAAAGAGGATACACAAAAAATTTTAGCTAGCCTGAAAACTGGATTTTTCATAACAGCCTGTACAAACATATTCTTGGTTGAAAAGCCTTCTTTTCCTTTGCTATTCTCTGATCTTTCCTAATTCTAATATAAGGCAAAACATTAAATGAAGCAATTGAAAATTAAGCACATACATAATTTTATTATTTTTAAATCATAGAAAAGAATGAAGAAAAAAGTTGGAATTCTGCAACTTGCACATTTTCTACAATGAACATGTATCATTTTTATAACAGAAGAAAGCAAGTGTTGGTAAGAAAACACGGAACTGCAGTTTTGACAAAACTTGAAAAAGACCATTAAGGTTCCCAATCAGGAGCTCTGAGGCCTACAGATTTCCCCTGGGACATATGGATTTAGAAATGCCACAGAGACAGATGAATAAAAGCCCTTCAGAATGCAGCTTTCTAAAGGTAGTGATGTGCAGTCCTAAACATGCCTGTTCTTTTTAGATACACAGCACTGACAATGACAGGGATGTGACATTCTGAGAATCCTGGTTCCAAATCTAATTAGTTGCTCCATTTAACCAACTATTATCTTTCTTTTAATGTCTTTTCTCATCTAGCATAAAGAGATAATTCTAATAAAGTATTTTCAGTGTGTGATTATGCAACTGTCAACTGGAAAGCATATCAGGGGCACAGAGTTCAACCTTATAAAGAGCATCTAACACAAAATAGGTGTTGATGAAGAAACTGCTTGAAAATTACAATATCTACAGTAACAGAATTGTTACTTATTATGCTTAGTGTAACACATGCCTCTCTCTAGCCTTCTTCCTCTCTCTCTCTTTTTTAATATACCTTGTTTAAGGAATAAGCTGTCCAAGAAGTACCACCTCCCAAGATGTAAATCCTCTGCCCATCATGTGCAATTTCATGTCTGTATCTGAAAATATACAATAAAATACATTTATAATTACGGGAAAAATGATCTACCTAAGATTTGGCTGCAAGACTTTTTATTGCATCATTATTTATAATAATAAATTATTGGAAATAACCCAAATGTTTAATAATAGTGAACTGGTTAAATAAATTATACAATATATAAAAAATGGATTAGCATGCAACCAATAAGAATGTAGGAACAGAGGATGGTTAATATACTGAGAACTTCTTTTCATGTCATTAACTGAACAAAAAAAATCAGTTATATAAGAGCAGATAGGCTATAATCCTACTAAGAATTTATAGATATACAAATATGCACAGAAAATGACTATAAGGATACATGCAAAATGTTAACCCTGGTTATCCCTGAGTTTAGATTTTGCTTTTTATTTTCTTCATTTTGCTTATTGGTATTTTCTAGATTTTCTATCATGTTTTTGTGATAACTTTGTATAAGGGGGGAAATTATTACAGTTTTAAAAAGTGATCTGCCTACATTTAATTAGAAAGCTTAGACTGTGGGCTTTCAAATTAAGACACTTATTTAACAGATATAAAAATATCAGAAAAATTATGCTACATAAAACTGTGAATATAATATGAAACACCTACCAGAACTTTTATCCAAGCAGTCTAGCTAAAAGCTGAAACAAGTTATAATATGTCCATAAGATGATTCAAAGAAGGCAACCATGTGAAAATGCTTTGAAAACAATCTATTTCCTCCTTTCCCTGGAGGCCCTGGTGCTGATAAAATAAATTACATCAAAATTGCTCCCCATACGAAGCCAGCTTCCAAGTCCTCTCATGGTAGTTCTGCAATAATCAGCCCACTAAGATACTACAATAGAAATAAGTCTTCCTTGGCACCCATATGTCGTTTTTTTAAAGGCAACAAAGACATAATAGTCTAAACAGTGAATAAAAAATTATTTACTGTCTTCGCTTTTAATCTAGAGGGCAAAAAAACCTCTTTAAGTTTTCCAGTGAGTTTAATTCTAAGAAGAGGCAACTGCTATTAGGAAAAAAAAAAAGTGAAAGATCTACGACTGCTACTAGAAGGCAACTAAAGAGAATCATGTGATGTTTGAGTGTTTAACAGAGCACTTAAAATAAATGACCTTCCCTTCCTTTCTTCCATCCACCCAACCAACACTCACTGAGTACCACTATGGGCAAGGCACTGTGTTCTTACTGGGGATACGGTTGTAAGCAAATGAGCCAAAGAATCCTAATATGCAAGTTAAGAAGGGAAATCAAAAAGTAACTAGAATGTAATTATTTTGCCTGTAATATGAAATTTAGTTACAATTGTTACCATTGGTTTCACTATTTTCCTAATGCAGGAAAACTGAAGTACAAGAGGAAATAACAGGAAAAAAATTCTTTAATTCAGAGGGAGATATCATTCCCTCACCAGAAGATCCTTCTTTAATGCTGAACTGGGATCTAACAGCCAGTTAGCTATTTTAACCAGGCCAAAGGGTCTTCTTCAAACCATACTGCCAATATTCTGAAAAAAAAGTAAAATCTTAGCAAGAAAGAATAAATATGCTTTAATCCTAGAATCTCACCTCTCTTCTGGTAGATCACAGGATAGGTTGTTTGGTTTCAGTTGTGTCCACTCTCTGGTATTGAGATCTAATTTGTGCAGGTCTGTGCTGTAAATATAGCCAGTTGTCCCTCCAAAGACATAAAGGGAGCCATTGATGATAGCCATGGCCTGGATAATGAGGAAAGGTGAACGAGACTTCCTCGTTAACACTTGATTAAAGAATGTAACCTTATTAGATATCCCCAAATCAGGTTTTATGAAATTTTCTTGTATTTTTTAACTTTCTAAAAATCAGACCCTTAAAAAGGACTAAAGATTTTAGAGAAACAGAGATTATTTTTAGAAAAGTTAACTTTGCTCAACTGGAAAGAAAGTTCTATCCAGATAGGCAAAGGGCGTCAGATGATCCTTAGGGGTCCTAGCCAACCAAAGAATTTATAGATCATGGACATGAGCATTTCCACTGAAAGCTGCTTCACTTTCTAAGCAGTCTGAAGAAAAATGCCCTTAAGGAGAAGGAGCAAGTATGAAAATAAGGCACCAGAATCCCTTAAGTAAGAAGTCTAGAGGTGGCAGTCCCCCAAACTTGACATTTTCCACCAGACTCTTCTCAGTGTAAGTTTTGCTATTGTTATGGTAATTTATTAGAGTTTATTAAATGCCTCCTGTGGTGGGATACGGTCATCCAGTATGTGCCTCACACATAGTTCAGAAGCTATGTATCAGTACCAGTGCCAGCCAGTGCTAGTTGAGAAAGAAGCCACAGCTTTGGTTGTTTTAAGCTTAGCCCATTACTCTCAAAGGGTCCCTGAAGTATGGTGAGTTTTTCCTACCTTTTTAGATACAAATTTTCAAACCTAAGGTTTGAAGCACTAGAACCTAACTGGAAACTAATTTCTATATAATCTGTGTTTTAGCTCAGATCTGTATAAAAGTCTCTTAACATCACTGCCTTAGCAAAGACCCAGTGGGACTCAGTAGATAGGGATCATCTACCCTATTACTTAGGTTAGAAAGCTCTTCAAAGCATCATAACGCTCTAAAGGCGATAGGACCTGGGCCATAAACAGCCAAATCTCTCATTGGGGGTGGGTGAGGTCCTGACATTTATAGAAATCTCCATACAGGTCTAGATCATTGATCTTAATCAGAAACAAAGAGTAAGGGGAAAAAAAGGAAAGAAGAATGCAAGCAACCAGATTTACAAACTACAATTTCACATCAGAACTGAAATATCAAATAGTAACCACAATGAATTTATTCTCCATTAACAAAAATTGGTGGCAATATAAATATTCTGACATTGTTCCTGGAACTAGAAAATCTGAACAAATACATCCACAATGACTGGCTATAGATTGGTACCTGTCCATATATACGACTGGGTTTCTTCCCCCGACAGCTGAGTAAAGCCCATCTCTTATACTTCACGTTACAGACATGGACGTCATTGCCGTTGCTCTCACCAAATGGGATGCCTGTTCCTCCAAACACCAACAGGTTGTTTCCATGCAGCACAACTGGGAAAGGAGAAGCACAAATTTCATTTTTGTACTGGCTACCTGCAATGTGTTCCCACATTAACCCAGAAAATCTGAGAAACTCAAAAATGTCCGCTTTAATACTTTCAGAAGATAGCTCAAACCACTGACCTATAACTACTACAAAGTTTTACAGAAAAAGGTCTAATTCACACTATTTCACATAGCTCACTGTTTGATATGTGACATGTATTGTGAAATGCATGAAACACTGTAGATAACAATACAGAATGATATGAACTACAGTCCACCACTGCTGCGCAACACAGTTCAAGTACACAGTAAAGCAAAAGAAAATGAAGGATCATCACTGCCTTAGCAAAGACCCAGTGGGACTCAGGATGAAGGGATAAAAGGATCATTCGGTTTTTGCCAGGGGAATGATCTCTACATTTTAAATTATAGTTTCTGTCATCTTAATCCTCCACCAGATAAAAAGAACACGAATATCCTGCTAGTAACTTTCTGCTCCTGTCATCACACACACTTGTATATACTTTTTCTCTCTCTGATGGCAAATATTCTGAAAATACTGCTACTGTATTATTTCAGTGACTTTTTTTTTTAAACCAATTATTCAATTGATGTAGTGTAAGAGTCAACAGCATGAGCTCTGGTGCCCGTGAGAGCTGGGTTTAAAGTCTCGTGTGACCTCAGGAAAGTTATTTAATCTCTCTAAATTAATCTTCCCAACAACCCTATGAGGTAGGAACTATTATTATCTTTTCCATTTTTATAGATGATAAAATAGAAGTGGTGAGAGGTTTAAATAATTTGTTGAAGGTTTCCTAAAAAGAACCTTGCCAAGCTAGGGTTCAATCCCAGGCAGTCTGGCTCCAGAGCCTGCACTCACAGCCACTGCCCTTCGGGCCTCTCTAAAGCCTCAGTTTCCTCATCTGTACAATGGCGATAATTCCAGTGTTGGCATCATAGAGATGTTGTGAGGATTAAACAGATACCACATGTGAAGTACTTTGCTCAAGAGCTGCAAACCCCATTTGTTGATCTTCTACTACATTTTGCCTAGCATATATATGATACTTTATGTTGAACCCTCTGAGATATTATTAATTCCATTTTATAGGTAAGGAACTAGAAGCTAAAAATCATCTGTCAAGTAAATGACATACAGCTAAGTTCAAACTCAGGACTATCCAGCTCACAATTGATTCTGAATCACCATGCTATGGTATTGACATAGTATTATCACAGTAAGAGTCTATCCATTAACAGGGTTTAATTATATTACTATTATGATTTAGTATTATTAAACATTATTAACAAGGAAAACATGTGACACTGAGCCAGACCTCTCAGACAGTTCATAAAGTCAAAAGTTCAGAACTGCTGGCACTCACGTGACATAGATGCCAACTCTCGGGGCATGTAGCCATCTGTGCCCATCTGGTGCCATACTCCTGTAGCAAAATGATACCTCCAAAGCTCCCTGAAGAGAGGATAGTCTTCATTATCTGGCCCTCCTGATTCATCATAATCTGGGTTATAACCTCCAAACACATACAGATTGGTATTATCTGCCACACAACGATGTCCGCTTCGTGCTGGTGGAGGTCTGTGGCCTAGGAGAGAAGAGGACAGCTTTCCACAGATGACCCAGCACATTAAAAGCACAAACAAAATTTGGCAACAAACGTTTTATCTTTAAAAGGAAATCAGGGAAAATTTATAATGTGGATGTACTTTTTATTTACTTAGGTTATTTTATACATTCACACATACTACTTAGGATTTTAAGGAGCTAGTCTCCATTTCTATTTCATAGGACTATTTTCAGATTTTGATAACTGTAAAAAGATTTTTCCCAAGGGAGGCAAAATAGCATCATAAACTTGAGAAAATGGCTGGTAACTTGGAGTTTTCAAGAAAAGAAGGACAGATTTTCTATTTTCTTAGAGGAGAAGAAAACACAGGCCAACGAAATTAAACTGAAAATATTAGAGAACTACATAAATATAATCACAAATGTGAATGAGTCATGTATAAATAAAAATACACATACATAAAACCTGTGATTTTTCCACAATATATAATTATACACTTAAAAAGAAAACTGGCTTTCAAAGAGTTATAGCAATGTCTGGAATTTAAATACCACTCCAGACATTATGGTAGTTAACAAAGAATATCCCTGTATTTATCTCAAAGAGCATCTTTCATCCTATTAAGAACTTTACTGAGAAAAGCTATTTCAGGGAATTTCCTGGTGGTCCAGTGGTTAGGACTCGGTGCTTCCAATGCTGGGGCCCCGGGTTCAATCCCTGGTCAGGGAACTAAAGATCCCACAAGCTGCACAGCCAAAAGAAAAGAAAAAAAAAAGCTATTTCTACAATTTGTATTTGTAAGCTTTCTGAAGTTTAAATTATGTCAACTAGTTTACTAAAAGTTACTTCAAGATTATTTTAGAGTAAAAAACCCCGGAATTTTTATTACTTCTATTATCCTTACAATTTTTACACCAGTCTACACAAACCCTTATATAGCTACAGAACCAAAGATGCTTAAATACACACTGGATGGGATAAGCTACTATGGTCATCTGTTATCCTACAGATTTATCTACTTTCATATATTAGGAATAGATACTAGTATAATATTAATATTTATGACAATGCTGGACACCTAATAAACATTTGTTATATAAACATTTATTACCAGCCTAATATAGGCCTCACATATTTATATTTTAAATCAAAATCCCACTTCCTACGGTATGCTTTTAAACAAGAACTGAAAAGAAATTGCACAGAGCTAGAAAAACTAAAAACCAAACGAACAAACCACGAATCACCCAATCACTTAATTCCAACCTGTTGGTCCTGAGAATCTTTGATGGCTCCTTACTGCTCAAGCTTGAAGTCTTCAAACAGCAATTCAGAGCCTTTCCTGATCCTGATCCCTCACACTCCTGCCTGTTTACGTCTGTCTCTCTGCTTAGAAAGCCGAGTCCTTCCCTTAGCTCTTGGCCTGGTCTACCTAGCCTTCAATGCCTGGAAGATCCCTGGTGGCCTAGTGGTTAGGACTCTGGGCTTTAACTGCTGTGGCCTGGGTTCAATCCCTGGTCGGGAAACTGAGATCCTGTAAGCCGCGCAGTGCGGCCAAAAAAAGAAAAAACCTACAGCCCTTACAATTCAGTACCATACCACTCAAATAATAAGACAGACATGGACAATTAATAAGACGATTATACCATAACTATGTAAATACATAATAAATATAATTTTAGGCAAACTATAATCACTTAGGAAATTTACTCACAAGCTGTGATTTACCTCAAGTGAACTCAATTTCTCTTTCTAAAAATCTTGAAACACAGAAAACGTGGTGTGGAAGAAAGAGCAATAACTTCTACAAATATCTAGATTTGAATCCAGGTTCTTTCTAACTGCTTCCTTGAGCAAGTCACTGACCCTCACTGAGTCTCAGCTTCTTCATTTGTATGAATGGATTATTATTCCTGTACTTTACAGATTTATTATACTTGCTATTATGTTAAAATGTTTATTGGTTAATAATATATGTATCTTCCCAGGAGGCTATAAGCTATTTGAGGGAAGAGGAATTATTTGCATTCACCTTTCTATTACCAAACCTAAGGCACACAGAAAACACTGAACAAATTTACAAATTTAACTTTTCTCTACTCATTTAGTTAATATTTATTTTTCTTCTCCAAATAATTCTAAGTTTCTAAAGGGCAAAAATCATGTATACCAATTAGCCTGTATCACCCACAACACCTAAAACAGAGATATATAACAGAAACTAGAAGTTTCACTGATACTAACTTCAGTTCAAAGTTAACAGTAACAGGGATGATCAAAACAGTGTAGAGCTCTCAGTGGACTTTGATATTGTGCTTAAGAGAGATACAATTTTGGGGACAGGGGTTGGATTATGCAATGGTCTTCTCAAAACACAAATGTTTCTAAGAATTAGCAAGACAAATTTTAAGAAAAAAAACAGAGTTGCTATGGTCAACAGACAGGAACTCTAAGAATCTCTATAATGTCATTTGCTTTATTACCTGGAGCCAAAAGATACTTTTTGAAACTGCTTTTGGGCAAATATGAAAAGACATACAGTATATTCCAGGATTTTCTCGAAACGACTGTACAACGGAGAAGACATTCCATTCTAAGTTTACTGCCAACTATTTTTGAGACAAATGTAACTAACATGGATTAAAGGTTGAGGAGTCAATGAAAGATGATTTTATATTTACCCACTCATTCATTCATTCATTAAGCCAAAAATATTACTGGACGCCTCTACATACCAGGTACTGTACTAGTTGCTGAGGATACAATGGTAAGACCATTACTCTTTCTGTCCTCTGCAGCTTACAGTCTAGTTCTGCGCTGTCCAACACAGTGGCCACTAGCCACATATGACTCCTGAGCATCTGAACTAAGGCTGGTTCAAACTGAGCTATGCTTTAAATGTAAAATACCCCCTGGATTTCAAACACTTAGTATCCAAAAATAAATGTAAAGTTACTGATTTTTATAACTGAATATAGGTTGAAATGACATTTTTGATCTCTTGAGTCAAATAAAAATTAAGATTGTCACCTATTTTTTACTTTTTTCATGTGGCTACTAGAAAATTTAAACTTTTGTGGCTCACATAATATGTCTATCAAAAGTGCCTGTCTAGCTCAATTGCTGGCTTCTGTAAATAATGCCATTATCTATGCAAATTAAACTGCTGGGTAAAGAGCATCTGATCAACGTATGATAAATATTAAACATCCTGTCAAGAAGTCTTATAGCTAGGAGTAAAGAGGTAACTATTCTTTCTCTTTAGTCAGTAACTAAAGATTTCTTTGTACATATTTATAGTCCAAGAGTGACTAACATATTAGAAAGCCATATTTTATTTTGAATAAATCCTGGGGATTTATCAGGGTTAATGTCACGGAGACTACACATTAATTTTCATTATAAAGAATATAGCATAGGCTCCTCAACCTTGACCAAAACTTAACTGGGTTTTAGATTCTTAAAGTAGTTCTCTGAATCTTGTCCCAAATTCTCCATGTGCAAACCCCACTTTCCTAAAAAGTACTTGCTACTAATAAAATCAGCCACAGAATTAGGTTACCTGATTGAGGAACTCCAATTAGAAAATGCAGAAGTCAAAAATTAAAACTGAACCTGTGGGCTTCCCTGGTGGTGCAGTGGTTGAGAGTCCACCTGCCGATGCAGGGGACACGGGTTCGTGCCCCAGTCCGGGAAGATCCCACATGCCGCGGAGCGGCTAGGCCCATGAGCCACGGCCGCTGAGCCTGCGCGTCCGGAGCCTGTGCTCCGCAACGGGAGAGGCCACAACAGTGAGAGGCCCGTGTACCGCAAACAAAACAAAACAAAAACTGAACCCGTATGCAGAGGTGAACTCAATACCCAGAAGGGAACATGCAGCTGAGGGAGTATGGACCTGTGGTAACTGAGCCATCTTTTTGCTTCAGTGTGCTCTCATGTGGCAATGATGAGCACACTTGCTCTTTACCCCAGGGAGTAAGCCAGAGTTTACTGTAACCAGGGACATGGGCTTTAGTTTGCAGCCCAAAGGAAGAAAGAAGCTGTCAGAGATAAGGCAATGATGAGGTTGCGCCAATGTTATTACCGTTACAAATAATTTTGTAACAAAGCTTTCTTTATGTAGATTTATATGCAAATGTCTAAAAATTTCTGGAAACAGAATTTCTGGGGTCAAAGGAATATACACTTAAAATTGACACAGATAGGGGACTTCCCCGGTGGCGCAATGGTTAAGAATCTGCCTGCCAATGCAGGGGACAAGGGTTCGATCCCTGGTCCAGGAAGATCCCAAATGCCGTGGAGCAACTAAGCCCGTGCACCACAACGACTAAGCCTGCGCTCTAGGGCCCACGTGCTGCAACTACTGAGCCCGCGCACCTAGAGCTCGTGCTCCACAACAAGAGAAGCCACCGCGATAAGAAACCTGTGCACCACAAGGAAGAGTAGCCCCCGCTCACCGCAACTAGAGAAAGCTCACGCACAGCAATGAAGACCCAACGCAGCCCCCCCAAAAAAAATTCTTACAGATATAATATTGTTATAGAGCCATATTGCTTTCCAAAAAGACTGCAACAGTTTATACCCCCAGCAACAGTGTATGGTAGTGCCTATTCCTTTATGCCCTCTTCAACCTTTTTAGTTTGTGCCAATCTGATGGGTGTCAGGTTACTTTGTATTTCCCTGATTTTTACTAGCTCACATGTTTATTGGCCCATTTGTATTTCTTCTTTGGGGAATTGCCTGATCATATCCCCTGTCCACCTTCCTATCTATTGTGTTGTCTTCTCACAGATTTGTAGAAATTATTTATTTATTCTATTTCTTTCTTCCAGCCTGCTATTGGGCTTTTAATTTTGTTTATGGTACCTTTTACTATATGGAAGTTTTTGTGTAATTGAATCTCTCAATCTTTTCTTTTAAGGCTCCTTTGCAACAACAACAAAAGGCTCATTTGCTTTACATCTCATTTAGCTCTGCATCATTATAAAATTGCTATTCTTATTTATTTCTAACAATTT